GTTTCTGAGTTCACCTACTTTCCGTCTCAGCCCTCTAACATTGCTGTACAAGCAGCTGACATTGAGTCTCAGTCTCGGCGTATTGTGGGGTAGTCGACGTTACGTTGTCTGCCGTTAGGGGACCTAATATTGGGACTAGTTCGCCGATTCCGATGGAACCGGCTCGTTGTCGTTTTTTCCTTGGATTCGAATAGGATACTTGAGTGACACTGACTGCCATTCTCAGCACCGCATCACTCTAGTGTCACTGAGGCTTGAGGACGTATTAAAGTCTCAGTTTGCTACCTCTTTATGGTTGGAGGCCTGGTTTCGTGTTTGTTATCTCATTTTAATCTTGGTCTCGTACCACCGTTGAAGTCCTAGGGCCAACTGCTCGTGTGAGTTGAATTTGACACGCAGAAGCTAATCATTGCGAGATTAGCGGGCCAGGCACCTGGAAAATCGAGACTGCTCCAGAAGCACCAAGAATCATCTCAGATGACAGCCACCTCCATTGCTGTACGTCATGCATGCGTTTTTCACGAGTAATGCCAGTCTCCAGCTACAGAAAACCGTTCACGACCATAGTGGTAGAAGGCATTAGTTCCGGTAACTCCCTCTCCACTTGCCTGTTAGCTCATGGCCTATCGTGTCTCACTTTTATACTGAAACTGCTGTCGATAGCTAATACTTGGGGCGGTAACAGCATACTTTCAGCCTCTTCGGGAGAGTCCAGTGTAGCCCTTGATGAAGGTGGCCTACCTTGAGATGCCTGGAAGCCCCAGTACAGTCTGCACAATTTGGAGTCTTAGTTTATTGCACAAATTTGGTCACTGTTCTTGATCTAACAGAGCCCTTCGTTCAGGCAATCTATCATTGCACACGAGTACATTACACAGGAGAAGGGATTTATATTTCATCACGATTTGACTAGCCTTTGCTACGTTGCTGTGCTTGCCAGTGACTGCAATTGATGCTTTGGAAATACCATTTTGGCCAGCTTTTTCGGGTGTAAGCTTGGGAGTCTCCAGTTTATGAAGACTGCTATTTCGCGTGGGCCGGACTGAAGTATCCTTCTTGCAGTTTTTACCAAGTTTCGGTTGTGTGGTGTTATCATGTGGAGAGCTGCATGAGACTTTGTCGAGACATTTACATAATGGCACGTACATTGACTGGGTATCGGTTTTCATAAGAACCGAACACGCACATCTCTGCTTCTTGCGAGACGAGACCAGCATGCAGTATCATGCTGTGGTGCAAACACTCGAGAGCCCTCCGTTGAAATGTACAATGAATGTCTCCTTTTTATTTAATAAGGAACTGTATAGACAAATCGTTGGTGTGGCAATGGGGTCGCCACTAGGACCCATTCTAGCCGACATTTTCCTGGCAAAACTAGAAAATGGGCCTTTGAAAGATGTTATTAATGAACTCCAATTTTATTGTCGATACATGGATGATACTTTTTTGATTTTGAAGAACAAAAAGGAGGCAAAGAACATCCTGGATAAATTTAATGAGGTACATTCTGCAATAAATTTTAGTATTGAGAAAGAAAAAGACTCTAGTATTTCATTTCTAGACGTCCTTATGACCAGAAAAGAGGATGGCATAATAGGAAGAAGTGTTCACAGAAAACCTACATCAACGGGCCAGTACACACATTTTCTCAGCTTTGTGCCCTTGAAATACAAACGCAATCTAATAAAGTGCTTGGTCCACAGAGCAAGAGAGATTTGCTCGGATGAATGTCTTGACGAGGAGCTTAACAATATTAAACGGTTGCTAAGTGGGAATGGTTATCCCGAAAAGTTTATTGATAAGAATATGAATCTAAAACCAAAACAGTCCAAGTTACCAACAGTTCCAAAGAAAGCCTTGTTCTTACAGATGCAGTTCCTAGGAGACAATACAAGTGAGATACTAACACATCGCCTAAGAAATGCGGTAAAAAGAGCGTTCCCTGCTGCTCAATTACGCTGTATCTTTAAAACCACTCCTCTTCTGCGTTCGGGAATAAAAGACAAACTGCCTAAATTCGCCTCTTCCATGTGTATATACCAATATACAGCCAGTTACATAGGCCGTACAATAAGGCGTGTTTCTCGTCGAATTCTCGAACATCACCCTACCTGGTTAAGCAAAGGTCAAACAAAATCCATTCGCAGCGCTATTCTGGCGCAACTTGTGGAGACACAACACAAGATTGACTTTAGTTATGCTTTCGGGGACATTTACCGCATACCTACGAATCTCAATTTCGCTTTAAGAGTTCGACTTCTAAATATTGCTGAGGCTGTGGGGATTCATATTAATATGCCTAATTTATGCACCCAAAGGAAGTTAGTTCAGTCATTATCATTACCTTGGCCATCCATGTTTGAATAATCCAGAATTTTTGTGAAATTTCCCTAATTTTAGTTGATATTCTATTCGCTGTAATATCTTCATTATTATTATAGTTTGAACATCTTTAAAGAACTGCAATAGCATTGCTCATAATTTACAAATCGATATCATTTTAAAAACGCTAATATTGTCATTAACTACTAATTTAAAATATTCTGTGTATATAAACATGTATATAATTGTAGAGCCAGAAGAGGAATTTATCGAAAAGAATATTCTTTGCTCGATTATTTTGCATTTTATCTTCAGTCACAATGATGTTATGACAATCTGGTCTGTGATTTCTTATAGAAGGGACTGATTTGTCCCCGGATATATCGACAGTAGATCAAATAACAAGCTCTAAAGTAGTCTCTGGGAGTGCTTCACTTCAACAACACACAAATTTTTTTCATGTCATGTTCAGGTGGAAATGTGGAAGGGAGTATGAGAAATGAAAATTAAGATAAAGTGTATTACCCTTCAACTACATCACCGAGATAAACAATTAGTCATCAGAGGAAGAACGTAAATATATCAGTAATTGCAAGCTGAGTAATAGTAATAGTTATAATAATAATAATGTTCAAGCCAGTTAAGATAATGATACTTATAAAAGGTAGTTTTAAATGGATCAAGAATGATTATTGAATGTGGATCAAAGTGCTAGTAATATCAATATCAATGGCTGTTAATAGGTAAATAATATTACCTGAGTAAATTCTGAGTGACGACCACCTCCTTTTGCATACAGAAACCTGGTTAATAAACACGAATTGCACAAGCCTCCACAGTTGCAGGCATCTTTCTGTTTCTTTCTCTGCTGATAACTGTGAGTGACTTGATTGCCTCAATATCATGTCCAAAGTTCACACGATGTTTTTTATTGAGCTTTGAATTCAGCTGTTTTCAAAAGTACTGGAAAGTTTAGTTAATGATCACATCACGGAACACCTTGACGAAACTAATAGACTCCATGCGGCACATCATGTTTTCAGAAGATAGAGATCCTGTGTAACAAACCTACTGTCAGCTTGAAACTACTGGAGATTATGTTGGGACATGAATGTTCTGGTCTGTGTGATCTTCCTAAACTTTATAAGTTACTTAACACCCTCACCATGACCTACCACAAAAAGTCCGGCTGGAATAGTTGGGCTGCTCCTGTCTTGGTTGGAGAACTAAGCAGATGAGACTAAATTCTGCACCAAGGTCAATCGTGTTCGATCATCCTGGCACAGTTCGTCATCAGGAGTATCGCAGGGTTCTATCCTTAGGCTATTGGCGTGTTTGATTCTTGCCAATGACCCACAATGCCATCTAAGATGCCTGACTGTTCTTTTCATGGACGACGTAAAGATGTGGAGACCACTAAAGTGCTTGAAAGACTCAGACTGCAGACACACCCAAGACTTCTGGAAGACTAAGCGGTTGTCAATGGTATTGTGGGAACTATACAACACTAATATCACTCAGAGACGGTCAATAATAATGGAAGAAATAAGTACAAGGAAAGTAGCGAATTAGGCACTATAATCAATCTTGGAGTCAATCAGAGCTATAACAGGAGACTGGAGAGACAAAGTACTGGAAGTTATCAAATTTCTGGCAGCTGTCAAGAATAGACATCAACTTCAGACGATCTTCATGCAACCAATCAGATTCTTCTAAGTGAAAAGTAGCATTAATTTATGAAGAAGTGTATCTACGATATATAGGTGATAAAAATGTATCATATATATCTCTAATATTCAGCAAAACCTGTTCCCACATTCTCATGGAAGTGGTTATAGACATATCAAACAAATGTTTTCTCTATTTCTCCAGCTGTAGCAGATACTGGTTGCATATGTGCAATATAATACTAAGGGAGTGTTATGTATGAGATATTAGGACCTTGTAGACTACGAGCGAATCTAACTAATGCGCTGGCTAATCTGTCCTAATCGCTCGTCAACAACAACAACAATACCACCGGGCACGCAAGGCAAAGAAAGAAGACTGGACGTTGATACGAGAGCTTTTACTGTCTCTTACAGCAGTCGAAATGTTAAACAAAAACTACGTATTTATACAGTTAGGAAAATCAATGTCACATTTTAAAAATATTAACAAACCATGGGAATTCAGTAATTAAAATCAATAATCACGCAGATGCGGGAAATCAATGATTATGCTAGTGTGGGAAATAAATAATGAATATTAATGATTCACCTGTGTATATATTAGGGAGACTTTCAGTTTAGAGAAGAAAGTGCCTTAAATGTCACCAATTATGTATGACTTACCAACTTATACAAACTTTCATATAAAGTGGTAGCATCTGAATGTATTACCATCAATAGTCAGGAATGCTTTTGCAGAGTCATTATACCTCCACATATGCATGTTTTATTCCTCCCTATTAATGCATTTCCCACAGAGAAGTAAAAATTCAAATCCAGAAGACATTTTCAATGAAGATTATGACTAGCAACCATTTGTAATGCTGAGCTATATGATTGGTCAAATCAAGGTCATTTGACTTCGATGTTTATTGTTTAATCTTCTTTAATATAAGAAAATGGCCTAGAGAAACAATTTAGTTAACACTAGGTTATAAGGAGAACATTGGATATTGGAAGGACTTTATTGTAGTGGCAATAATTTGTAATGTGCGCTACCAATCGCAAAATATTGTCATCATTTTCTTAGTGGGAGTTTGTATACATTTTTTCATCTTACAGTAAGTTTTGGCTTATTTTCTATGTGTTCCTGTTGAAGCGCTATAGTGTTTTGTGATGTCTGATAAGCCAAAATCGCAGTAAACATAATTGCTGTGGTGCTCTTGGACATGTAATGAACGCAGGAGGCAGTATAAAAAATAGAATGGTAACAAAACTTAGTAACATTTATTTGGTCGTTGAACTTTTTTGCCAGCCCATTTACTGAAATGTAAAATTTTTCGGGATAAATACCTTTAACATTTATTCTTATTTCGATTTACAGCTTGATTCCACACCGTATTTTCAGTACAAGTATGGAATTTCCAGCATGTATATCGGTAGCCCAAATTTGACAGGCCGACCATAGTTATCGGGTGTGCGCCGGCAGGGGATCGAACCCCGGACCATGTGCATGGTCGGCGAGAGTCCTAACCACTGTGCCTTTTAAATTGAATAATTGTTGATGATATAATGATGATTTATATGCATTGCATAAATTATATACATGTAATGAATGCACTGTTAACTCTTTTGCCTTTTTACAAAACCACAGTTTCCCGAAAGGCACTGCAGCGTCTATAGACACTAGGATTTCATTGAACACTAATTCATTGAGGACATAATGATGAGACAGTTGTCATACCTGTACATGTAACCTACTTACCGACTGAATTTCCAACTTAGAGCTTAGCATAAAAGTACAGCAGTTCAAGCTGACACACTCCGTAAAGCGCAGTAACGTACAGAAGAAACTTAAGGGAACTATAATGGAGGGAAGTGTATTGGGGGGCAAAGAATAATTACGTGGTGAATAGTGAGGATTTATTGAATCTGGGAGATTACATAAAGTGAGTGTCCCTGTGCTGTTAAGAACGATTTTTAAGAATATAACCGAAAAGCACAAGCAATTGTTCGTTGAAGTCTCAACCGTTAGCTGCTACCTTGATGTGGCAGTCGTGTTTGCACATCGCAGTGACTCAGGGGACTTACTTTACTTTACTTCGGCTATCTCCTACGGGAGGATGAGCCGGCTTCATGAGCTTCATGAAGTTTCATGGGAATTTGGTACGAGTGATGTCCCCAGAATCGCTCGGCCTTTTGTTTGAGAGTGCAGCTCTAGCCTTTACACAACCAAGTGTGTGACCTACAAGGCAGTAGGAGTGGAGTAGGGAGTCCACTATCCATTGGCAGCCGGTGACCGGAGTTCGGTTCATACGCCTTTTTGAATGGGGCCAGACATCCAGGACATCCAACAAGCCCTTTGTCCATACGTCTGCCGGTGAGCTCCAGTGAGCTTCATACGCCAGTCGTTTGAGGTTTGGAATCAGGGTTTAGCCATCTCCCCTAGACTGTCATCCAATGGACAGTCAACCCGGTGAAGAGCGCCGGGCATCCGCTTTCGCCCTCTCACTTTGGTGAAAAACACCTCCACTCAGGGGACTACACTAGCTGAAGTGGTTTTTCCTGTAGGTTCTACCATGCCAGAAAGTCACTCATATTATGTTGGGCATCTGTATGTGAAGTCGTACTGCTGGTGGATACGCGTATAACAGCAGTAAGGTTTTTTCCCTGTCAATTACCAATCCGACTTTGCTGCTTCTTCGCTCTGGAAAGGTTAGGCTAGAAAAGGTTGACCTCGAAAACTGTATATCACGACTTACCTTGCGTCAGTTCATAGCAGGCTGTTAGTTTTTCACACGGACACATCTTTTCTATATCTGATTTCATTAAAGGACTGAAGAATGTTTTAATTGGTGGGTGGCGACTAGCAGTGGAATCTAGGATGCGCGTTTCATCCTATTTGGGACTCGTCAACCTGAGACCGAGCACTTCGGTCCAATCAATTGACGGGGAAATCTAAAATTCAATTAAATGAAGAATGTTTTAGTTTAAAAATCTGCCAAAGTGTACCTTTTTTGCTTTCATTTCACTTTGCTATTACTTTTTATTCCAGATGGTATCGGTCAACAAACAACTTCAGTATCTCAAATTCATTGAAAATCATTCAACTATTTTTGGACTAATTTTATACCTTGTCGGTTTGATATGGTTTTGTCTCTTATCTCAAGATGAACTGAACTTCAAAACGTACATGAGTGAAAATGCCCTACTAGTTGGTATGTTCTTTAACTACTCGAAGTGTATTTTTCTTCTTTTCTAGGTCAGGTTAATGAAATCTACAATGATGTTGCTTCTACTGTGAACTATTATCAAGATTCTAGTAATGCATTTAAGCATAATGGTCTGTAAGTAATGCACTTCTAAATGTTAATTCACAAAAATTAAAAAATTATTGTATAGTGTTGGTCTGAAACAATGGTTATCAGAAGAGCTTCACAAAATTGGTCTAGAAGTTTATTCACAAGATTTCACTTTCTCTCATGATATACTTTCACCGATAGAGGTAAATACATATAAATAAATATGTGCTTGCATAATTTAATATATTTCTTCATTCAGAAAGTTAATGGATCGAATTTATATGCAATTATGCGATCTCCTAGTGGGGGTCGAACAGAAGCACTCATAATTATAACATCGTTAAATGATAATCCTGCTTATTTTGGAAGTCTTGCATATGCTTTATCATTAAGCAAATTATTTAGAAGTAATCAGAATTCTTTTTATAATAATTGACATAATCACTTTTAATATATTCATAGGTCAAATTCACTGGGCCAAAGATATAATATTTCTTTTTCCTGAATATGAATATATTGGTTTGATGGCATGGCTTGAAGCTTATCATGGAACAGCTAATTCAAACAGTGAGTTTTATTCTCGTTATATTCATTTTGTGTGTTAATAATAATAATTTGCTTTATTCCAAAACAGTACATGTGATACAGAATGGAATTCTCAGCATTTTTACTACAGTATTGCATCCAGTTAGTACATTATCAATAAATAGAATTCTACATAGATTGAGGAAACCACAGTTCATTATTACAACAATACATTGGCATGTCAGTAGCAAAGGTAAAGCTGAAACAGTGTTTGAAGGTGTTAGAAAAGTGGGAGCTGTCTTATTAACTGGCGTAAGCGAGAGAAAGAAACAAAGCAGCACATAACAGAAAAAGAAGAGAGAGAAAAGGAAAAGAAAGAAAGAAAATGTTGTACCTATTGATGATGTGAGTTGAAAAGACGAGATCACTTTTCCAGTGCGTCGGTGGCACAGTGGTTTGGACTCTCGCCGATCATGCACATGGTCCGAGGTTCGATCCCCCCGCCGACGCACACTTGATATCTGTGGTCGGCCTGCTAAATTTGGGTCACCGATATCACATGCTGAAAATTTCATACTTGTACCAAAATACTGTGTGGAATTAAGCTATAATAAAATAAAATAAATAAATAAAAATAAAGTATTACAATATTTGATAAATGGTAGTTTTACAATTTCAAGACTACTATGGAGGGCGAATGGTGTTTTCGGGTACTACGCCCAAAAGTATTAAACACTTTTTTAGAATCAAAAATTAGTCTTATCATATCATATGGAACTGTGGGCGGTGATCTAGGTACTTGTAGACCTTAGATTAGAACTCTACTCTAGTAGCTTGTATCATTACTTCTAACATAATATATGTATAAGTTGTGGAGTTTGAGCTGTTTTACTGCCGAGTTTCTCCTCATCTGTTGTGCAGTCTTTAAATATATAACATACTGCTTACAAGCAAAATATACAATACACATTGATGAAATGTACGAATTAGAATAAGTGATGATACTCATATGTTGGGATAAATTTAAATGAATAAGTGTAAAGACTCTTCATTGGTTAGCCTAATAAGATTAATAGATAAGTGTCATGTTGCACATGAAATAAATGTTGAGTAATCTCACTACTTACAATCGGTGAAGTTCTGTAGGTCTCAGATTCTGTGCAGTGCTTTAAAAAACACGTATCAGGATCATTTTCACTGTTATTCTTCTATCTCCCGCGTGAAGTGGTATAATAAGGTGAGCAATACTGAGGTTAGGCGTCGAGTGCTAGGTAAGGCGGGGAAATCAGTCGACGAAACTGTGAAATTACATCGACTGAGATGGTTAGGACATGTGCTACGTATGCCTAGTCATCTCCTTCCTTGACATTGGGCAATGTTAGCTGACATAGGGTGAGGTTGGGAAAGAGAAAGCTAGTGGTGGTCAAACCAAAACACGGGTTCACCAGTCAATGAAATCCACAACAGTTAGCTTAAGCTAGTGACGTAGGAAGATGTAGGCTTCCTGGTTGGGGTTCTCGGATGACGGTAAAAACCAATGGTTGGAAACAATTGGTGATATGGCTCAAAATCGTTGTCAGTAGCGCAGATGCATCCACTCCTTGTGACTTATGATTTCTAATTAAAACGTTTTGTTCTCCGTTACTACTATTCCTTTGTCTCACACCTCTGTTTACTGTCTATATTATGCATTTCTCCTACTTTCTTCTCTTGCTTTGTGTGCTACATGGAGTGTGGCGACTTGAACTGCCGCACATATGTGCAAAGTTCTATGTCGAAAACCGACCGACCGACCGTTATTCCTCTATTTTCTGTGTATATGTTGCTACGGTTAGAGGCAACAAGAGGATAAGGAGCTTGTATATTTTCATTTTTTTTTCAACGAACGCTTTATTAAACTATCTGGGTTGGTAGCTTGATAGACTCATTATTGTATAATAGGTATGGTTTATTTACTCAGTTACGTGACTTGCAGTCAACTGAATCACGTGTCTAAATCCGTTTTACTATTCGCACTGTGGTAGTACCACTGACTTTTAGGCAATCAATGTAATTTGTATTTTGATGCATAAACGTTTACATCGTTTGGTGAGTTGCATTTAGGTCGCTCCTATAAGAATTCAGTGTGCCATATTTTAGTTATTGGTAATAAACTGTGCGGTTCAAATGCTTAAGTGTTAAACATGTTCCCTACAACACTACAGTCGTCATATGCAATAATGGTCAATTAATTTATATCCCATAAATTGATATCTTTTGACTTTTTGGTTAGTTTTTGATCATGTGAGTTCTTATCTGAACTTGAGTATTTTAATTTTTCATCGAAACACTTTATATAAGATTTCCTTTTTGTATTCTTTTGCAAATACATAGCTCACGCCTATTGGCATGTTTGTATTTGATCTGTAGTTAAGTTATGGTATTCATAGGGTAAACAAGAAGAAAACACGAAGTAATTTTTTCCCAAGTATACGGAATATAACCGCCTTATATCAGTTAAGGGTAGTCAAACTGCAAAAAGATAACACTGGTAATTGAATCCAACGGATGCTTAGGTTTACTAATTCCGAATGCAAACATTTTGCAGAAGTGTGCCTCTGTTTAACACTCTATTTTGGTCAGTCTAAAAGCACTAAGTGATATTGTTTATGTCCCAGATACTATTATGTTTTCTTCATCAAATCAACTCCTCATCCCCTGGAATTACATCTTTTCAATCCAATCGTAAGGCTTTCAAAAGATACTTTTTGTTGTGAGTAATTTTAATTTTACTAACCTTAAGCACATGATGTCTATTCTTTTGCAGACCTCTTCGGTGCTGAACTTGAAGGGAGAAGTGGAAGTATACAGGCTGGATTAAATTTAGAATTTCTCAATTTATATCAACCAATAGTGGATATATTACCTGAAGGTCCTAATGGTCTATTGGCTAATTTAGATCTAACTAATACTGTTGTACGATTGGCTGAATCACATTCTATAGTAACACGAGTAAATCGTCAGGTAGGTTAATAGTGTTTATGTGCATAAATGTTTTGTATTATGTATAAATTAACTTCAATTTGCAGCGTATGAAGCTGTGGTTCTTTGGCTTAATTACTCGATGTTTAACCAATGAGTTCAGGCTTCTAATCCCACCCTACCTACTTCACCTATATCAGCCCTCACACAGCCTGGCGCATCGGAAAATTGTTTCGGGTAGCTAGTTTCTGGCAAATCCGCGTTATTCTTGGTAGTACAGCTGTGGAACAACGATTCTAGACGAATTGTGCGGTTGTTCTGTTTTCTGATTACCTAGACGTAGTTGACAAACGCCCATGATTGGTTTGAGCTGCATTCTTTAAATAATACGTTTTTATCCCCTCAAAAGCGTCATGTTCTTATAAATATTTAATAGAATTGTAGACATTTCAAAAGAAGTGGTCAAGTGTTCCATCATCCCAAAAGAAACTCGATGAAAACAGACTCATAAATGACAACTTGCTGGGAAAACTAATTTTCAACAAATAATATTTTCTTCTTTTTGAAAGCAGTGGCAATATAAATTTTAAAAAAAGTTGAATGGTATTTTCATGAAGGAAGTTATTCAGCCTTAAGCTTGACCATTAGGTGACAACCTACACAACATTCAACTATGGTAACGGCGGATCATTCTGCTAGTGGCTTGAATAACTAGCATAAGAAACAAATCCAGATGTTAGTATGGCGTGACAAGATATGTCAGAAGTATATGTAGACGCAGATTGATAAGTAGCAGCCAAAATGGAAACACCAGACTTTAGATCAGTGGCTATGCAATTGGAAGGGTTTATTCCTCAAATCTGGATTTAGCTTACGTTGTGGTCAGAGAATAATCTCAAGTTTTAGCTTTCAGGAAATCAACAACCAGTCAGGACGGTTCATTATTCGCTGACCACCTGGTTGACCTTAATTGTGGCTAAAAATATGTAAATATGGTGTGTTTTTTCTTAGTAAAAAAAGTCCCTTACCAAGTCTCTTGTGTTCTCCCGTTACAATAGAAACAAATTATCATTAAAAGGAGTAGACAACAAAAGGGAATCAATATATGAAGGATTCATAAAGCACAGATTATATGACGTACCAAACGTCATCACTCTAATTCCTTAACTCTTAGAGTCCCATAGTCTTGAGAGTATATTCATACTTATTGAATTTCAAATATTCCGCTCCAGTAAATGTTCACTCACTATTAGATAATCTACATAATGTGACTAGTTGAGGAGTCAGCAGTTAGCCGCGATTTAAATCATTTATCGTACCACTGAAGACAATTTATACAGTCTCCTTATAAAGCGTATTTCTGTATACTCAATAACTTATTGCTTAGAGTGCGGGAAAAGACGTAGAACAAATGACTAAGCACATGATACTAGTTAGTGTCCAATTAAGGTATCTAATACAGTTCTACAGGAAGTCAATCGCGAGCCCAGAAGCAAGATGAGGAGGGTGATGTGAGTAAGGGACAGTTATGCTCAGGAAGGCTTCGTGTGCTTTTGGAAGTGTGTGGGCGGTTGTTATTTCCCGGCTGCCCACACCGTGGAAGTTCATTGATTCTTCGGGAACCTGAAACAGAAAAAGTGTTGCGTGACCGCAGAGCCCAGGGGACAACTGCTTGAGGCCGGTCACACGCGGCCTGTTTTTGTTTGTTCTTTTTTGTTTGGTGTGTCTCAGTAACATATTTATCACTTCTGCCCTGTGACAAGGGCAGCAGAAAGCGCGGTCGTTGTTAATCCGGGCTCCGACCAATCCGGCATGTTACTTTGTGATTTACTTTGAGTCATAGCATTGGGTTGGGTAACTGCTTTTTGCCTAACCGCTATCCAAACAACCTTTCTGGCATGGTAGGACCTCAAGCGACATAAGTCTCAGCCAGTATAGCTTATAGGGTCATGGCGGTGTTCAAGCGCGACCACCACGTCAAGGTATCAGCTTTCGGTCGGGTCGCTAGCCTAAAATCTCTGATTGCAACACTGGGCGGCAGAGGTTTGAATCTCAGAGGGGATATGAGTTCCCCGAAGATTGCAGATACTTCTTGCTGACTAGTGAATGCCAAGAAGCACGAAACGTAGGTCAAGCTGTGCTTCATTCCGATGGTCTCCAATCATCCACTAACAGCAATTTTGAGTGCACTGTGATGGAAAGCCACCTACTGACATGGTGGCCACATTGCGAACTTGACTGATAGAATTCACTCTGCAGCAAACAAAGGACTAGATGCATGACACTAGTTTATGTACAATCAAATAACATATTTGAATCAATGATCACCAGTTTAATTGATTGTTTTTTCCTTAGATTTCCATTTCTGTCAAAAGTAATCGATTCTTTATTAGTGTTCACTTTAGCATCGTGCATTTCAACTTATTTTTTTGACTTAACTTTTATTTTACACCTACGCTTTTCCATTTTAACAAAATGGTGTATACTGCTGGTTGATATGAATAATTTACAACTGTTCACGTCAATTAATAGTACTTGTTAACTGAATGGAGGTAATCAAAGTGTAAGACGGCTGCTTCTCCTGCTTGTAGACGAACTACTGGTTGTTATGATTAGATGGTTTGGTTAGAAACTCCATTTCCTCGAACACATTTTTCATGTGCCAGGCTATTAGCCACAAATCGTGTGTTAAAGGACTCATGCTACTTCTGTATTGTCAAGGCTGATATAGGGTGAGATGCGGGCCTCGAACCTGGCCCCCACTGGCTGAAGTTGAGTGTTAAAAGTTAGTGATCCATGTATCCAATGTCGATTTATGTAGTTGATCTCTAACTACTTATATTAATCAGCTGTCTATACCACCGTCCGGCCAGGTTTTTTTATCGAACTTCTTGATTTTAATTTATGATTTGAAGTAGGTCAACACCTATTGTATCCCTAATATGTTTTTTTTGCCTCAAAGTGTGTAATTTACGAATGAGTAGTTGTATTTCTTTCTTCTTAACAACTTTTATGTTTTTTAGTTCTGAAGTAGGAGATGCCTTTAGAAGAATACTACTATTTCTTTTCTTTTTTTCTGGCATTTTGTTAGCTAGTTGGGCTCTTATGATGAAATGTAGCTGTTTGGTACATTCTAATCTAATACGCCTAATCTATTTTCCAAAGGATATTGATGAGTCTTTATAAGTTCTTACATAAGTTCAGTGGTTGGTGGCCTGGTTAATTCACTGGGCTACTACCAGAGTTTCCAGTCGTCAAAATACTGGTTGTTTTAATCATGATCACTGGATACACTCTCGCACACACATTTAGTTAGCTTTCAGAAAAACACTGTACAATTCTTGGAGGAAATGAAGAAAAGATACACGGAATTAATTCTCTTTTCATATGCAACAACACTACAACATATGGTATACTTGTGATTATTGCTTTACATGTAAATCCTGTATGAAGACGATATATTTTTGAACTAAATACGCTAAGAATTTTTGTACTGTGTTCACATATGGTCTAAAATAAAGCTTTATTATTATAGATTGTACGTAATATGCAGGTAATATTAGAGTTGCTTTGATTGGATACTATCTAGTGTCCAACCAGAGTATCTAATGCAGTCCTACAGTAGGTCAATCATGAGCCCGAATAGCTGCTCAGTGGTAACGTCTTTGATTAGATCACTGGGTGACGCGGTACGAATCTCAGAAGGGATCTGAGTTCCTTCACGGTTGGAGATAGGCCTTAATTACTGGTGAGTGCCAAGAAGTACAAAACGTAGGCCAAGCTGAGCTTCCTGTAAACTGCCTCCAACCATCTAATAACAATAAGGATTTCCTTTCGAGAAAAAACGCTATTACTGAAATTTCTTCTGATTAGATCACACATTGATTAGAAAACTATAGGAGACTGTACATTAATCATTTATGCTGTGTAAATCTTACTCTACGGAATTGGATCTCTTTTCTGCTGCCAATTCCCCATAGATGATCACCTGTCTTCATTGTAGTTTCCTACATAAATTCTCATAATCCTGGAAACCACTAAAAAAAACATACGTGACAATGGGCAAGTATTCCGTCTTAGTTTGTGATTCTTCCTCAGTGCACACAGCCGAAGTCTTGTGAACACTGTAGATCTAAAGTCCATTAAGTTTACAATCAATATGTTAGGAATAGGCAACTAGAGAACAGTGCCATCGAATAGAATAGCAGCTTATGCTTCACAAGTCATGCAAATTCACATCATTAACTCAAGAGATGTAGTCCATTGCCTTGTGAACTGAATTTTCCGCGGATCGGTCAAGGCCTCGAATTCCCCCTTAGGCAGTATCATTAAGCCTTGCAGATGATTTAGTCTTATCTCTCATTCACTGGCATCTGTAAGCATCATTACAAACAGCTGCATGGATCCCCAAATTTGCATGATGAGGACATAATTACAGATTTCTTAAGCGTCTTCGTAAACAGCTTCTAAGTACTCTTTCGTTTGAATGGCTTCTCTGTAAATTTATAGCATAAACTACTTCTCAATCGATTTATATATATTTGTTTATTCATATGGTCCTTTTAATACAGAGAAATTATAAAATGTCTAAGTAAATACATGTTCACCATTCATGTTGGTGATGTGAATAACATTGATGGTTTATGTGTGTGTGTGTGTGTGTACAAGGATGTATTATTGTGATTTATTGTTGTGTATATTCACAAAACTAATTTGGCTTTTAAAGTTTTGAATCACCTCAATGACAAAGAGAGTGTAACACACATACAACACAACAGAACACACACACACACTTCCCTACAAACCAATACTTGAAAAACACATCTTTTTTATATGGTAGATTTTATCACGAATTGACATTAGTTAGGGAAACTTTGTAGGTGGCTGGGGGGGGTGTGTTGATCAGGGAGCACTAGGTAGACCACTTCGTCTTAGTATGGGGCTCTTCATCAGTTTTTCCCCTACGACCTCACATGGCAGTTGTCTAATCACTCACTGGGTTGGTGGAGTCTGATGACCAGTAAATTGTAGTCTTTATGAATTTGTAGTGTACCGCCAACACCACTGATTGTTTATCGGCAAGTAACTGTCCTCATAGCCACATTAGTGAGACCAACCAATCACTTGTCATCAGAACTCCAGGAAATTCATTGTGTAGTCGTTCACTCTAATGACCAATGAACTATTTATCAATTATTGGGTTGATGGTATTCAGTTGCTTTTAGTGAATAAATAATGCACTAGATGCAGAACTCCACCCTCTGGAACAAGCTGGATTCCAGAAAAGCAAATGATGTACTGATCAAATTGCATGTCTACGCATCATTATTGAACAGATCATAGAATGGCAGTCAAATCTCTCCCTCAATTTCATCGACTTTGAAGGGGATTTCGATAGCGTTGATCGCGAAGTAATTCGAAAACTACTTCGACACTATGGTGGGCCTCAAATCTTCATCAACCTCATGACAATGGCACTCTCCAGGTTATTCACAATAGAAAACTTACCGAAGCTTTCCAGGTGAATACAACAGTAAGACAGGGTTGGCTGCCTATTATCACTGATGATATTCACGATTTATTGAATTCTTAACTCAGTAGTTGATAGGTCAGCAGGTTGGCCGCCTCATAACCTGAAGTTCCTGGGTGCTCACTACCGGAGAGTTGTATACTGGGATGGTGTAGCTGTGCAGTGCTACTTGGTTTTCAGTGTGTAGCTGTATAGTTGTGAGCTCAAACTCCTCTCCGTCTACTTAGGTTCGGATAGCAAGGTTGTGTGTCACCAGGCGTCATGACACTATTATAAGTGTGGTTCGTTGTCAAAACTGCATGAGATCGCTATTGGTTGTTAAATAACATTTCATTTTGAACTGATTTTGGTTTGTGCTCAAATTTATATTAAAACCAGTCAAAATTTGATTTTCGATATAGAAAAAACTCCATTTAGATATTTGGTAAGTAAAAAGATTGAGCGAAGAAATATCCACTTTTCACTAAATTACCTATCTTCTCGGGGTCGACCATTCTTACCTTAGCTAAATTCTTATGTTCCGACAATCTGTGGAAGCCTGAGCAATTAGAAAGTTTAAACCACCTTCATGCGTTCAAAAACAATTCGTTATCACATTAAACCTTCCTTGGTAAATTTTGTTTTGATACCATAACAGATGTATGTACTATTACCTCTGCTATTTGGTTTAGTGGTCTTTATTGTTATTTTGACCTTGAATATGTCCTTTTAACTTGACCTAAGTTGTCTATTTTCTCACCTCTGACCTCTTTACTAATTTCATATATATTCCTATGACAAGTCCGTGTGTGATCAGATTGTTCGAAATGTGTTGCGCAAATCCAACATTACACACGATTCAGACAAATTACGTCTTCTTATTGCTTTATCTAAATTCATAAAGGGAACTAATTGTTTTAAATTTGACTACCCCCGACCTACTAGTTTGACCTATGTAGTTGACCTAACAGTCATTGCAGGGTATTTTGTAAATTATATTATTTTCTCTAATTGGATCAATAGGGTGCTTTAACCTACAGAGCTCGCCCCTGAGTGAGTTTGTAGGTTTAAATGCCACTTTTCAATTAGATCCACATCTCTAGCTTAACTCTAATATATTATGCATAACATTTTTAATGCAATACACAACATTTTACCAATCAATTAGCGATACGTTCGCTAACAATAATTATTCAGTATCAACGTGTCAAGGGTGGGGTTGATAATTAACGAAGAAAACTAATGCAAAGAAATAAAGGGTAGAAATGATTGCGACAAGCTGATTGCATGATGCATAATTTTGGAAAAGTGAAAAGTAATTAAGAAATAAGCGAGTGTTCAAGTTGATGATGTAACAAGTGAGGAGAAATGTGAATTTACCACCAAAACAAGCCAATAGGGTAACAGCTCCAAAAGAAACCATTGTTCATAAAACTGCAATTTCTAGGTGATAATGTCAGAGAAACAGTAGCACAGCGCCTGAAGAATGAAGTGTTGCAGAGGTACGTTGTCTCTTCACTACCACTTTTATTTATACGTTCGAGAAATAAGAACAAACTACCTAATTTCACCTCTTCTATATGTGTCTACCATTTCGACTCCAGCTGTTGAGCCAACTACATTGGGCGTACAATTAGACAGGTTCATCATCATCGTATTTCCAAGTATCATCCTGCATGGTTAAGCAATGGACAAACAAGATTCATTCATAGTTCTGCTTTAGCATACCGTTGTAGACAGTGAGCATATAGTTGATGTTAATACAGCATTTGAAGTAATCTTAATGTTGCTTTATTAGTTCGTCTTCTGCATACAGCTGAAGTCATTGGAATCCACCTGATGAAGTCAAACCTCTGTTATCCTTCAGCCACTTTCTTTACCTTGTCCATCGTTACATGAATGTATAAACCGGACTACTTCATCCTTCCCCTAAGCCTTTGAAAAATTATAATTGTCGAAATTATTTTATTATTTTTTGACTTCTTCATCTCCAATTGCAAGTTGTCATTGTCCACATGTTTTCCACTACGTAATCAACTTGAACATTTACTTATTCTCTAATTACTCTTTATATTTTCTCAAATTATACATTATGCAATCCACCCATTGTAACCATTTCTAGCCTTTAATTGTGTGTATTACTTTTCCTTCATCAATTATCACCCGCAGCCTGACATGTTAATAATGACTAATTATTGTTAACAGACATGTCGCCACTTGATTGGTAAGATGTTTTGTATTGTATTAAAAATGCTATGGATATATATTATGGTAGAGCCATAGTGAGATGAGGATCTAATTGAAAAGCGGATATTTCTTTCTACATTTATTCCCCTTGATGAATTTGAATAAAGCAAGAACAACAGTGGTTTGTGCAGAATAATATGGTACCATCATTTATTTCGTCGGCCTCTCATCAGCTGCTTACAATCTAAATAAATTATCATTAAGTTCATGTAAAGAAAAGTTTTAACATACTTGCAAATTTTACATGTCAGTTGACAAAAGGTTCCACAAAAAGTGAACAGTGCTCAGAAAATTGCGCTTATATAGTTTTTACACAGGCAGTTAAAGTTTAAACAAAATAAATGTATGCATACAATGGTAGAAGAGTTACGTAGTAAAGACGAAATATGCGTTAAATACAGAGTGACTAATAAATTAGGTAACAATGTACTGAGTTCAACTCAAATCATAGAAACAAGAGACAAGCAAAATTACAGATTATAAAAGGGGGTGAGGTTAAAGACAAAGATCACGTAATCAGATGAGAGAATAAAAACATTCAGTTACCAGGGCAAGGAAAGATTAATAACTGCTTTTTTTGAACACATAAATCCGGTTTCAAGCGTTTGATAGAAATTGCTTCGGCAAACTTGAGGAGAATGGAGCTCCTTTGTCTATTGATAATTTTAAAGGATTTCTCGATTTCCACCTCATGACCCGTGTCGAGGAGATGTCTGGTAATAGCGCTACTATAAGAGTTTGTTCCCTTGAGACGTAGGCTTTCTGGCACATGTTCAGAAAATCGGAGGTGTGCCCTTCTTTCTATTCTCCCAATGTAACTGCTCCCGCAGATACACGTAAATTTGTATACACAATTGGAGTTAACATGAGAAGGATATCTGTCGATTTTTGACTGCACCAAAGAGCATGTTGTTCGATGGACGGAAACCAACTTAGCTTCAGAATAGGCTCTGGCTAGTGACGTTCTCAGTCTTCTGTTGACCATTTCTGCAATGTTTTCACCTTTAAAATCTAGTTGAATGAAGACAGGCTTTTTTCAACTGTGATTTGTTTGGTATTTGAGCCTTCACATCTTCCATATTTGTTAATGAATCTTTGAGGGTAGCCGTTGTTTTTCAGCACCTTTTCGAGGAACATAAATTCTTCCTCTAGTTTCTCTGTAGAGCATATTCTCCTTGCTCTATAGTACAGAGTCTTGACTAGTGCTCGTTTATAGCTATTTGGACAAAAACTATTAAAATATAAGTATTGTCCATTCCATGTAGGCTTTCGGTAAATTGACCTCTGGAGATTACCATCTTCTAGGCGTTGCATGGCGATGTCAAGGAAATGGAACTTCCCGTCATTTTCATGTTCCATGGTAAATACAATATTTGTTTGTGCTTTGTTGAATAGGCTGAGTAGGTAGGAGGCATAACTTTCGTTGTTGCGTACTACAAATGTGTCATCGACATATCGACAATAGGGAGTTGTTTTTTTTTTTTTTTGATTTACAGCTTGATGCCACACCGTATTTTCAGTACAAGTGTGGAATTTTCAGCATGGATATCGGTAGCCCAAATTCAGGCCGACCATAGATATCGGGTGTGCGCCGGCAGGGGATCGAACCCCGGACCATGTGCATGGTCGGCGAGAGTCCTAACCACTGTGCCACCGACGATTGCATGCTTCAACTTTGTTTTCTCAAGGTTTGACATGAAGATATCTGCTAAAACAGGGCTAAGTGGACTGCCCATGGCTACACCATCTATTTGTCGGGAAAGAGTGTTATCAAAATGGAATTGTGCACCCATGGTACACATTAGCAATAGGCGTTTGAATTCTGGCTCTGGTAGTGGCAGAAGATCAGACTGTTGACAAATGATTTCAATGGTTTCATTGATTGGGATCATTCTGAACAAGGAGGTTGCATCAAATGAAACCATGAACTTATTTGAAACGTTCATATGAATCACGCTTTCCGCTCAATACTTTTGCATTCTAAAACCTGAATTGATTTAATTCGTTTTGTTTTCGTTTGTTTCATTTTTTTCCTTACATAGTCCTATGCATATACACGTGGTACCTATCGAACTAGAATGAATGATATGCTTGGACTTATGGAAGCTGTATGGACTCAGTCAACAAATTCACCAAGTGGTCTACACGGTCCGCTGATTAATTATCAAATTCCCGCGATAACTTTACGCGGAAATTATAAAACACGAACAGATGATCCGCGTAGTTCAGAAATTCTATATGTTATGAGGTGAGGTTAATAGTGAGTGATTCATAGTGGTTTAGAATATTACTGCTTTAAATTGTACATTTCGATGTCTAGTGAAGTCGAAATAGTCCTGCCGAAGAAGCCTATGACTTACAGAGTGAGATGTCTCGAAGAATTCTTTTTTTGTTAAACACACTGGGATTATTTTATATAACTTTGTATTGATTCCATCGGACTGGAGGGTCATGTTACTACTTCAGGGAATTCGTGGCATTTATGGTTTGGATATATGAGGCTTACGATTGACCTTTTGTAGGATCACAATGGATACACTTATCGACCACTGGGAAGCAATAAATGTCCTGCGCAGCATCTACTCCTCAGTATTGGTGCTGGCTGAATTCTGTTAGTGTAACATTTACAATAAGGTCACCCAGTTGCTAAGCAACTCACCATCGCATGATGTACTTTGAATTGATGCGAGATGGTCGGTGATAATTTGGCAGGAGATGCTCCAAAATTTAAATTTTGTGCTCATTGGCATTCGCCAGCAAGATATATCTGCAATCTCGAGGGCAGCGATGTCTCCAGAGAGATTCGAACTCGTATCACTCGTTGTTGCGGTCAGAGACGCTGCCGATAAGCTCCTACACCCTGCCTAGTTTACTAGCTGATAGTAGTAAGGCTCTAAAAGGGGGAAGGTTGAACGTAAAAAAAATCCCTACCGAAACTCCTAGCTTGAAGTCCTAGGTTCAACTCGGAATGGAGGAAACTCATTTAATGATAACAACAATACTAGTAATAATCGAATGGTTACAGGATTTCATCATCATCTGACATTAGTTAGAAAACCATTGGAAAACTAGCACTGCAATACCGGACAGCTGTTTCGTCCTAGTTTGCGACTCTTCATCAGTTCGCACACACCACCAGGGTTTGAACCCAGGACCATCTGGTTACAAGGCGAGCTCGTAGACCATTCAGCCACTGGGACCTGACTCCTCAATGGCCAGTCCATAAATTCCAACTTCTTCCATTTGACGAAATACGGCGACCACTAGTCAATATCATCGCTGGCGAGTATTTGTCCTCACCTTCAACCTGCTGTACCCTACTGATCACGACTTCGAATGGATATTGATAATCTTCTTTAGATGGTAGGAGGCAATCGGCATGAAGCCGTATCTGCAACCTTGAAGGAGGTCAATCGTGAGCCCGTATAGCTCAATGGTAACGTCTCTGACTGCAGCAGTGAGTGACGCGGGTTCGAATCCCAGAAGAGACATGAGTTCTCACAAGATTAGAGAAATTCCTTTCTGACTGGTTAATGCCAACTAACACGAAACATAGGTGTAGGTCCAAGGCTTCCGGTGGCCGATTGCGTCCAACCATCTGATATTGTACTCCTTTCTCGGAGAATACAATCATACAGTCGTTTCAAGTTTCTATGTGTTTTGACATTAGCTGCAAGCTAAATAACACTAAATATCCATTTCATTTTGTGCAGTGTAGACCATGGCAACTAGAACATTTAAATAACTTTATGGGCTGGCTTAGTTGCATTGCTCTTATTATTTGATGATTAGGTTCTATTGTATTCCTTCAGTATCCTTCTGATGTGTTGTCTTCACTGGTAGAATTCATTCAGCACCAACACTTGGGACTGGACACACTGGACATAACACTGATTACTTTCTAGTACTCAATCAATAATGTACAGGAAGGATGGATTCAGTGGTGTTGAAGTTGTTTAACAGTTACTAAGGTATACAGTGAAGTAGTTGTGCATACATGATTTGGTTTCACTTTATCGTTAGCAGTTGGTATCTAGTCCAAGTGTGACTTCAGGAGGAACAACATCTGATGTTATAATATTATTATTATTGTTGTTTCCTTTAATTCCTAGAGGAACATAGGGCTTCAGCTGCGCGTCTCCATTGCGTTCAGTTCTCTGCTAGAGTCTTCACCTGGCTAAAGGTTGTCCCATACGTTTTCATCTCCTCTTCACATGACCTCCTCCAAGTCACCCTTGCACTGACGAACAACTCGCCGCTTCCCTTTCGCGTTCCACTCGAGCACTGGCTTGTCTAGTGATGTCACTTGATGGTTTCCTCAGAGTATGGCCATCCATCTCCATTTCTTCCTGCCTATTTGTTTCACAATTGGTTCCTGGTTGGTTCGCCCCCAGAGATCTCTGTTGTTGATCTTTTCTGGCATGCCATCTGATCTTGAGTATTGGGCGAAGACAACAAGATATTTTTCTCCAAACGCCATCCATAACATTTGAACGTGTTTTATCTGTGAATACATAGTGCTGGATTGGTCGATTTTATTTCAGCCGTATTTATAAGATGTAGATGGATTGTACGTGACAGTGTGTTTTAGGTATGTGGTACATGCCACTGAAGGCCCTTATAACCGTTTGAGTTATTCCCTGTATCATCTATGTGTAATAAAACTGAGATTTTTATGAATTTAATTCCATCCTCTCCATACCAGAGTGGTAAGTATCGTCGAATGCGTAGACGGACCTGTCTAATCATTAGGTCTGAAATGACTAAATCCATGAGAACTGTTAAAATGATTTATTGATGATGAGGAGAACGAGCCAAAATTAAGTAATATATTTTTCAGTTTCAGCGTAAACATTTGACAGCTACTGAAAGATAACGACAGTTTGAATTGAATTTTTTCTGGTAGTAACGTCGTTGCCAAGTTATGTTTTTTCACAGATATTATCACATTTCTTTTTCGTGAGTAGTTATGGCTTTTTATTGTGTTGTTGCTGTTTTTGTTGAATGCATTTTCAGATTACTTGAAGGTATTCTACGTTCATTGAATAATCTGCAAGAAAGATTACATCAATCCTTTTGGTATTATCTTCTGCCTAATCCATATCGATATATATCAATTGGTGTTTATATGCCACCGGTTTTAATAATGATTTTAAGTCTTTTACTTAAGGTAAGTAATTAATGTCAATCATCTGTTTAGGTTTTTATGTATTATAAGTTATACTACTTTTGGGGAAATAAGTAGTGTGTTTTACTTATTGTAATAAGTAATAATAATGAACTCTGCTAGTGAACGGGCAAACAACCTGTTGCCCGACAAATGCATCGTAGGAAATAGAGACATTCTAGTGAAATCACATGTCGAGTGGAACCTAAAATGTAAGTGACGTGTCGGTGCTCCGAGGTCCACTTTGAGAATTAAATGAAAGCTCTTCGAGGTAGTCATGGAGCGAACTAAAATTGTTGACAGTCTCCAGGATAAAAAACGAAAGCTTGCTGCTGAAGGCGTATATTCCACTGGGAGCCCAAGAGACAAACTATAATCATAATGGGTTTGTTAATCTTATACTGTGGAGAATTTTTAACGGTGTCGTTGAAAGAATTAGTCTCCTAGTAGTAACGATTGTCCTGTCATTTTGGGTTCATCGTCTCTTCGAAACAAAAATTCGATAAATATATGTAATTTTCAAGTATTGGTTTGGTAGGGATTTTGTTTAATTGCATGGAGGTTTTCATCATGAGCTGACATCAGTTAGAGAACCACTGGAAAACCTGGGAGTACTGGACAGATGTTTCGACCTAGCTTGGGACTCTTCATCAGTACGCACCCACCGGGATTCGAACCCAGGACCTTCTGGTTACAAGGCGAGCTCGTAGACCATTGAGCCACTGGGACCCGATCCAATGACCCTTGAATTCTAACTTCTGCCAATTCACGACATAGCGCGACCATTTCTCAATGTCTTCTTCGATGAGTTACTGCCTCATCTTCAACCTGCTTCCCACTAGAACCCCAGGTTAACTGCCTGAATAGGACCAGTCACTAGTGAGCATCAGTGGGTGCGTGCTGATGAAGAGTCACAAACTAGGACGAAACAGCTGTCCAGTACTCCCAGTTTTTCCAGTGGTTCTCTAACTGATATCAGCTCATGATGAAATCCTCCATGCAATTAAATATATATAAAATTAGAAACAGTTAAATATCAAGGATCAGTTCATTAGTTGGTGACGTTTTAAAGTGAAATATAAGTATAGGTCACTTTAGGATCCGAACCAGAGGCTTGAGTATTACTAGTCCAGTAGTCTAACAGGTGATGAGCTGTGAAACTCATCTGCAAACCAAGCCATCATTTAACTGCAGTCATCACAGGCAGTGTCCGTTTTCGCGTGAATGAGTCGTACATTACTCTCTGTTTTATTATCACCACACTAGCCTGCTTCATTGGATCTTTCTTGGTTAATCGTAATCATACTGAATTAGAATGACAAAAGGGAGCTATTGATTGATGATGTGAGAATATCTAAGATAATCTTGGGTTATAACAGAGATACCTGAGCATCAGTCACTTGTGGTGATTACTATAGAATGATAACCTGTTGGTTAGCAGTTTGTTAAGGAGCACCGAGGACTATAATTCCCCTGCCTCCTGGATTTTCATTCCACCTTCACAATTATCATTTTCAGTAAACTAAAAATCCACATAGTGTAATCAAAACAAGATGATTTAGAGCCAACCATTGTTTTCGATGAATTCTTCCTCAGGCTCTACAGTTATAAATTTATGAATGTTGTAATACAAATAGCCATTAGAGGCGTGTGAAAATTATATCGGAAACTGTATTGGGGTCTATGTGTAATATGGAGCGATAGTTCTGTATTTAATATTATCAAATGAACGTATATTAAACAATGTACAGTCATTCAAAACATAAGGTAAAGTGTGTGTGTGTACTGATGAGGAGTCCCAGATTAGGACGAAACAGCCGTCCAGTACTCCCATGTTTTCCAATGGTTCTTTAACTGATGTCAGCTATTGATGAAATCCTCCAACCAATCAAACATTAGCGCTACAAAACCATACTTGAAAAGTGTGAATAGACAAAAGGGTGACATACTAATGTATCTATACTCAACAGAATGTAAGTTTCATTGGGTGTGTTGGCGGGGGTGGCGTGAGTTATATTCAGTGGTGTGCGAGGAAAATAATTACTACAAATTACATACAAACAAATACCAAAACGCGGGGAACACTGAATGTAAGTTCAAGCAAGGGCTGACAGATATCAAGTGTAGTGATAAAATAAAGAGGTTAATTGATATAAGAATAAAACTTGTGCACTGTGGTAGAGTGTAATTCCACTATGGGTAAACTTTGTTTTGATAAAGTCTCACAGTGGTATACAGTAATGTTTACTGATGACGTTTCGAACACAATTTATTGCTCATAATCATATCAAGATAAACACACGACTTCCTAAATTCATTTATATAGTTCCATTGTTTTTCACTTGATTTGATTGGTAGTAATATTTTCCATATTTCGGGTATGAGTGATGAATCATTTCTATTGCATGTGTTGAGTGTAGATTCGATGAACAAAGATTCAGTAATCAACCTCTCTCTCCACCTACCTAGATTACTTTTTAGAATTTTAACCCTCTCCCACCCTATTGTGTGGTTGTGTGTTAATGCATGCATTGCAATTGCTGAGCTTTTTTCTAAATTACTTATCTTCTCTGGGTCAACCATTCTTACCTTAGCAAAATTCTTATGTTCTGAATAAAGAGGTTATATTGTGAACTGTAATAAAATACTAAAGACATAATTAGCTGCTTAGTGTAAATTACAAAAAGTTGACACATAATAGAGGCAATAATGATGGAGTAAAGTGAACTAGGTGAAAAGGAATAAGAAAGGCATAACACGACACGAAAATATGGATGATTATGTCCCCGCTGACCTTCTAGTGGGCCAGGGTAAGCAAAAAAGAAGATGAATGTGTTTCTTTTGCGCAGGTGGGTCAGGATTTTTTTTTAATCTCTATAGCTTCTGCTATAGCTAAGAGATGTAATCGTGTGCCTTTAGGCAGATTGTTTGGTAGTCACTCGATATACAACTGTAGGTGAATGACTCATCTAGTTCTATGTGGTGTTCACTATCTACCAGATGAGACAAAATGGCACTATTTATTGATTTAGTTACATTTTTCTCCAAGCCAAACAGAGAAACATGTTCACGAGTGCGTAAAGATGCACTCCTCTGAGTTCTAACTTTATATAACTAGCTCCACATGAGCAGTTGAACTTGTATACACACACTGATGTGGCCATCTTAGGTAATTTATCTTTGGTACACTTGTGGTGAGAGCTGTCTACTAGCCAAATTGGTAGACAGTAATTTACGTCAATATTTACGTTCCCAAGATTTGTCGTGAGAAAATGTGAACAAAGATTGATTCAAAACCGACCACAGCAGACTTTGCGTAGGCGGATGCAGTTAGCATATAGAGGATTTGACATTCAAGAAACAGTCACAAATAGATGAAAGATTAACTTTACGTGAGAAACAACCAATCAGAAGACTGTGTTTGTTTACTTAAATATCCATAGTAATGTACATGGAAATATATAAATATGCGTTGATTTCCTTAATAAGCGATCTGTTGCCTGACTCTTGCCTTCTGTCGTTACACACTGTGTCAGTAACGGATCTGGTTGAGAAACTGATGTGTAGTTCTGCAAGAAGAATTTATCGATTACGATTGTTCACTCTAAGCCACCATTTGACACTACATGAATAACAGTCAACCAATACTAAAACTATTTCAGATAGTGAAACAAATTTTTTTTCAAATACTCAGGAGAAATAATATCCACATGAAGAGAACAATGGGGATATAATAAATCTTTGGATATGTTAATAAAGAAAGATGCCATCTGAATGGTTCTAAGACATCTGAAATGAATGTTATTCACACTTATAACCGGTATATTACAATTGTAGAATAGTATTGCTGTATATATCTCATGTCACACAAACTTGAAGACTTGCAAGTGAATATAGAGAAGACAGAGGTGATGAAGATAACCAACGGACAGCAACAAGAGAAACAACCAGCACCAATCACCACCAACGGGAGAGATTTAACAGAGGTTACCTCCTTCACTTATCTAGGTAGCCAGCATCGTTTCAACTACAGGCACATGGCACGGATGAAGATGTCAAAGTCAGTCAGAATTGGAAAGACAAGATACGCCTTCATCAACCTGAAACCAGTTTGGAAATCTTCCGCTGTCACTCAGCATAAAGAACAAGATTCTCATTTTCAACACCAATGTGTAGTCGGTCCTTCCAGAGTGGTCAGAAAATTGCACTGTGCGTAACGAAGAGGACTTCCAACAGGTTGCTCCACTCTGAAGACCAAATGGCTGGTCAGAAAGAATTAGTAACAAGAAGCTCTGGAAACAAACCAACCAAGGATCGATCGCTCAACAAATATGCAGGAGAAAGTGGAGATGGATCGGGCATACTCCATTGAGGAGGCCGTCGAGTAACATCGCGCGCAATGCTGGCCATCGCTTGGGTGGAATCCAAATGGGAAGTGACGATTGGTCGTCATTAGGAGGGTGACATGGAGGAGATCGTGTGAGGAAGAAATGAGAGATTATGGTCAATCTTGCAGCAAGTTGAAGAGTAGAAGAAAGTGGAGACGTGTTATTGAAACCCTATGTTCCACTCGGAACCCAAGGGGACAATAATAATAATATAATAATAGATGTCATACATTGTCCACTAAGTTGATATTTATTTGTAATTCTTTTTCTCCATTAACCCTCGTATTTTTTTTTTCTTTTCTTTGTGTGTATCTAAAATGTTAGCCACTATTATTTTGGATATTCTCAAGAAAATCCACGATTGACAGTCAATCGACTTTTAAAAAGGAGTTAAAAGTTGCTAAAAAGTTGAAAACAGCTTCACATGATGGATCAAATCATCATCATCATCATCACCACCACGTTAGCGACAAACAGCAACCACAAGCGGAACAATCTCATATGAAAAATTCGAATGACATAATAGAAGATAATCAAACAATTCGTCAGCGTAAAATAAAGCCACCTTCTACGGAAGAAGGAAAGCATGAAAATAAGGTGAAAGCTAAACAAATTGAAATGGTAAGTACAGAGTTTATATATTCCCAAGTATACTATGGTAAATCTTTTCTTTTGTCTGATTGTGTGGAGATTTAGTAGTTCATGATTAATTAGAGTGGTTTAATGTTACGCCCAACCACTCTCGGCAGTTAGCTAAGAAACAAAAGAGATTTGAGTCTGTCTGTCTGTCTATCTATAGTAATGGAAGGTTTTCAGAAAACATCCATGTGTAGGAATACATAAATTTTAATCTTGCCCTGCATATAAATGATCTGGTACAATTAAGGGAGGGTGGTGGGGCGGTAGACTTCAGTCTTCCCCTTTAAACTGCTCTCATTTAGTCGTGCGTTCATAGCCTCTGCTAGATGAGTCGTATTCCATTGCCTTTAATCGGCACGAGGGTGTTCTTCACAAATATGAAGAGGCGAAATCGAAAATCTGGCGCTTACAACCAGACTGGGGGACGTAGTAGTATACCTAAGAGAGCTGAAGGACCGTGATTCCAAACCTGTGGTGTACATGCGCTCTAAAATCCGAAGGAATCGAATGGCGTGTATGAAGCTGTTTTGGTCACCGGGATCCATGGAAACTTAGCTCCTACTTGCAGATCAGAACTATTGTAATTTGAAGTAAGTTGGTGGATGGTGACTACGAGTGGAATCCAGGAGGCGCATTTCGTCCTATTTAGGACTCGTCAACTAGATGCACCTGCATTACCCAGTGAGTAATGATGTTTCCATTGAGGTTCGAGCCCATTACTCATAGTTTCAAACGCTAAAGCGTTATCCACTAGATTACTTTGGGGCCAAGACAGCCACCTCTTTCTTGTGCAAAAGATATCAGTAATAATTTGATTTGATTTAGACCTTTCCGTTGGTTGATTGGATTGAAGTGCTTTGCCTCAGGTTCCACTACTACCAGGCACCATCCACCAAATAACGTCGTCCAAGCATCTGCACAAAGAGTCAACATGTCAACGTCAGGTTGAGCACTTTTAGTTCAGTCAATCAACAAGAAAGTTCAAATTTAATTACACAGTTGCAATTGTCCCATCCCATGAAACTTGCCAAACTGTTTTGAATTTCACGACCTGTTGACAGAAACCAAACATTCCGATCCAGTAGATATCAATGATAGCACATCCCTCTTACAAAAGGGGATGTTCGAGTGGCTCACAAGCCCATTCAAACGATGCGAGAAGAGAAGAATACCAGTAGTTCTATTCTCTAATACGCCAACTCTGGATGTCCGGCGCTTTCGCGTCACTAATTCATGGCGCTACACAGAGTTCCTCAATATCTTAAGGAAGAAGAACTTCAAACATGCATTCTATACATAGTTGAATCAGTGCCTATTCAGGTGCCTGAAAGATTACCTTTGTGTTCAAAAGCACTGCATATATATTCACTAACCATACTGTGAACAGAATAACCTTCCCATAATTTTGTTTCATTTCATTGGCCAAGTTAAACTTTAGACACCAGTAACTACCTATCAGCGAACTACGTCGAATTATCCAATGAGATTCACGTAGTTCAATGTTGTATAGCGCTTGGTTCATTTCACTGCGTGCCCTTACAAGGCTAGGATTCATTGTCATCCCTGGGATACATTCATCACAGAGTGAACCACTCCAGTGATTTCGTGGATCCAGTTACAAGGCCTCATACAAATTCCACTGAAGGATTTTGTGGTCGACTGAAAAATAGAATAAGGGCTATGAATAGATCTCAAAAGGATCTCATTTATAGTCATTTAGATGAATATATGTAGAGAATGTGGTGCGAGTTCTCTATTGACAGTCCCATGCTGAATTGAGAAATGTTTCCCTCCCATGTTCGGGAGAGATACCCATTGTAGCTGTTTTATCATTTTCTTATGCATTTTTCTATTAATATACGTTTCTGCTTATCATAAACGCCTCTTTCATGTGATTGGTCCGTTCAAGGTCGTTTGCTGATTGGTTGTTACTGGTGTCGAAAGTTTAACTTTGCCATTTCATTGTTTAGTGTCACTGTTATTGATGCCATCACTCACTGAAGTAATAATGGTCCATCTAGCTGACGAATCCAATATAGGACTATATTTATTTATTTTTTATTTTTGGTTACAGCTTGAGGCCACACTGTATTTTTCAGTACAAGTATGACATTTTCAGCATGGATATCGGTAGCCCAAATTTTGCAGGCCGACCATAGATATCGGTTGTGCGCCGGCAGGGGCTCGAACCTCGGACCATGTGCATGGTCGGCGAGAGTCCTAACCACTGTGCCACCGACGCGCATTCTGTTACCCAGTGTCTATCATTATGCGTCAAATATCTTCCATATTTCCTTCTATTTTTCTTTAAATATGCTATAATAAATTGTGGTATTTTTGGTTTTTTGAACATATATGGTTTTTTCTGTATTCCTTTATTTAGTTACTGGCATTTTAAAAGTAGTATACCTCGATTTACTCAAGTTTTTTCATCTCCCAATTCCTTTTCCTCTTTTAACTAACTACTTGAGTGAATTTGCAAAAACAAAAGAAATATCGATCTCATCGTATTGTTTTAGGCACTCAAATTAAATCGGTGGGTTATTAACCCTAATGCTCCAGGTGTGTGCCGACATTTCTAAACATGTAGACAGTTGTGTAATATTACTTTGCTCTATATGCTCATCTTGATTTTCAAGTGTGAGTGTGTGGCTGATCTTAGCCAGTAGAAAGTCAACTAAAGCCAACAAATTAACATACATCGAACTTGGCGTTGCTGTGGTGTCATCCGTCTGAGTTGCGTCACCACACACACCTGCTCATCATGTACATTATTAAAGTGAGGGCGAAAAGGTATAAATAGGCATAACATAAAGTTGTGTAATATTTAAACGGGGAATCGAACAGTGGAAATATTTGATTTTTATATGAACATGAAGATAGAATGCAATGAATGCAGTCATGCCAAGTTGATCGATTCTGAGTCATTTTGTTTGAAATCTTCACTCTGCGTTTCCCTTTTCCTGTGGATGTCGGTCAGACAATGTATAAAACTTCTTAAATTTGTGATATGTCTAGGTTACGCCATGTTTTTTAATGCCGTGTACCAGTTTTATTCCATTTCACTCTATGTTGCATATTTGTATGTAAAAAAAGTCAAACTCAATAATTAACTGATTGGTTGGAGGATTTCATCATGAGCTGACATCAGTTAGAGAACCATTAGAAGACCTGGGATTACTGGGCAAATGTTTCGTCCCAGTTTGGGACTCTTCATCAGCACACCCACTGCGGATGAATCCAGGACCTTCTGGTTAGCCCGTAGACCATTAAGCCACTGGGACCCGATCTAATGACCAGCCCATGAATTCCAACTTCTGTTAAATCATGACATAGCGCGACCACTTCGCAATGTCTTCTTCGATGAGTAACTGTCCTCACCTTCAACATGCTGTACCCTACTGGTCACGACTTCCCACTAGAACCCCAGGTTGACTGCCAGAATAGAGCCAGTCGCTAGTGAGCATCAGATGAATTTTCAAGTATTGTTTTTGTAGGGATTTTGTTTGACTGGTTGGAGGATTTCATCATGAGTTGACATCAGTTAGAGAACCATTGGAAAACCTGGGGAGTACTGATGTTGTACTAGTGTTTGAAACGTTATTTTCGACTAGTCACATAACATTTCTAAAGTTGTGGCTTGGTTAATCAATCTATCCAACGCATTTTAAGCCAATTGGCGTTATCATAGGCTTTCATAGTAGTTAGTTTTTTACTGAACAAAACTGCAAATAATTTTGTAGTATCAGTCTTTAAAAATCGCCTGAATTTATTGATTAGTCACTAGACGTAACTAGTATCATACACTGAGTCCTGGGTCATAAGGTGGCTGTCTTCTTATTTTTCGGGTAGAAAACAACATACTGTTTTGAATGTATAGCGCTCCACTTCGTTGCTAACGGAAGCTGGTGTGCTTCAAGGTGCTGTACTGTACTCTCTCCATTCCTTGTTTTCTTTCTTTTTGCATGACCTTCCGTGTTCTTCCAAAGCTAACTTCATTAAATATGCCGACTATCTAAACATTTCTGTCCCAGTAGTTTCTGTGTTGGATTTTTCTGATATGATGAATATATATTCTTTAGAAAGAAGAGAACACGAAGTTCAGCAAAGATATCTTTTCGGTGATTTCATTTTCAAAAGCTGTACAGTCTTCGAAAAGATATCTTCGCTGAACTTTGTGCTCTCTTCTTTCTAATGTCCTAATCGGTGTTTTCCACGATTTGAATATATTCTTCTCTTAAGTTAACAAGTGGTTTCACACCTAAATGGTCTTAAACTGAATCCATCTAAATGTCATATTGTGGATTTTAGTTTCAGATGCGAACAAGACTTACTTACTTGGGAAGTACCATCAGCCCCAACGGGTTGATCTCTGCCGAAATCTCAGCATGGATACAGAGGGCTAGTTTCGCCTATGCCAGTTTACGCCGTCTCTGGCGTAGATGTGATATCCGACTATCGATCAAAGGGCGTGTGTACTGCTCAACAGTCCGCTCCGTCCTCCTCCATGGCTGTGAGACCTAACCATTGAGAGTGGAACACATGAAAAGATTAGATGCCTTTGATCATAGATGTCTGCGTTCTATCTCCCGCGTGAAGTGGAATAATAAAGTGAACAATATTGAGGTTAGACGCCGAGTGCTGGGTAAAAAGGGGAAATCAATAGACGAGGCTGTGAAGCTACATTGACTGAGATGGTTAGGACATGTTTTACGTATGCCTAGTCATCGCCTTCCTCGACAATGGGCAATGTTAGCTGATATAGGGCCAGGCTGGAAAAGAGCTAGCGGCGGTCAAACGAAAACATGGGACCAGTCAATCAAATCTACAGCAGTTAGTCTAAGCCACGTAGGAAGGTGTAGACTTCCAGGTTGGGGTCCTCGGGACGGTAATAACCAATGGCTAGAGACAATTGGTGACATGGCTCAAAATCGTTCTCAATGGCGCTTCTTCGTTATTACTATTCCTTTGTCTCACACCTCTGTTTACTGTCTCTAATAATCATTTCTCCTACTTTCTTCTCTTCCTTTGTGTACTACATGGAGTGTGGCGACTTGAACTGCCGCACATATGTGCAAAGTTCTATGTCGAAGACAGACAGACAGACAGAACAAGACTTGCGTGCACTGATTCAGTCCTGTGATTCCTGTAATATATTAACGGCACAGTGATAAAGAATAAATCGAATGTATTTCATCTCGGTATCAGTTTCTCTTCGAATCTCAGTTGGTTGTCTCATTTCCTGTTGATTTCTAAGAAGACTTATTATATCATAAAGAAGTTGAGACTTTCTGCTGACATCATAACTCAACCTCTTCTCTTACAATTTATTAATTCATGTATTCTGCCTATTCTTATTTATTATTCGTCCTTATTCTTCCCTGGACTTCTCAAGCAAGACTGTATCATATTACGTAGAACACTGAAGGTTGTAAGTAGGCAGGGTTAGTGGTGTGTGTGCCTTTGACTCAACTAACTGACACAATGGTCAATAGACACTTCAGTTTTAGTAAGCAGTCAGTTAACGTTATCTTGTCTGATACCGAACATCCTCTTCATGATTCACAACTTTTTCCTTGTATCCCTTCCGGTAAAACCAGAAGAAATCTCATAAGAATTTACGCTTCCACAAATTAACAATGAAAAAAGTCTACCATACCGTATTTAGCACGGGTTTTGTGTGAAGGGTCAGACGTAAAGCATAAGCAAAGATTATTTTTATTATAACATGTATTATCTGCGATACTATCTACTTATATTTCATTATGTTTCCACCAACATTCTATTTTTAGTGGTTTCATTATTTATTTTACTATTACTATTTTAAATTTTATTTATGTGCATATTTATAAAAGAGGCTAAATTGTTGCAATATAAGTAAAAGAAAAAAACAGAAAAATTCATTATGTATGATTATTATTGTTTGGAATAAAATGTTAAGTGTCGGCGGCGACTGGATTCCACTAGTCACCAAGCTAGATGTTACTTTGAATTTACTCATAGGTGATTGGAGACAATCGATAGAAAGCCCTGAACCTGAGTTTAACGCGTGTTGCTACTCACTACCAAAATGCACCTGAAATCTTCAAGCAACTGATATCATCTCAGAGATATAAACCCGTGTCACCCAGTTACCATCAACAGTAAGGACTAGATACATGATATTGATTACTTGGTCAGTTGGTGTATCCATTATATATATTGCTATGTAAGGCCAAATGTGAATTTGAATAGCTCAGTGGTTACGTCTCTGACTAGGGAATAATATGACATGGGCTTGATTCTCTACGGGGGGGGGGGGGGGCACTAATACCTTCAAGATTTCAGGTACACTTTACTGATTAGTGCCAATAAGCACCAAAACCCAGACTCAGGGTTTTCTCTTCTTAAGTCCTGGACAAATTTAACGATGTTCATCCTGCAGTAAATTTTACCATCTAGAAAGAAAGAGACTCTAGTATTTCATTCCTACACGTCCTTATGACTAGAAAAAAGGACGGTACAATAAGAAGTGTACATAGAAAACCTACATCAACTGGTCAGTATAGTCATTTTTCAGCCTTGTGCCTTTAAAATACAAGCGCAATCTAATAAAGTGCTTGGTCCACAGAGCAAGAGCAATCTGCTCTGATGAATGTCTCAACGAACAGCTAAATATTATTAAGCAGTTGCTGGGTGAGAATATGAATCAAAATTCAAGGCAAGTCAAAGGTACCAAGAGTTCTGAAAAAGTCCTTATTCTTACAACTTGAGTTCCTCGGGGATAACATCAGGGAGATATTAACACAACGCCTTAGGGACGCTGTAAAAAGAGCATTCAATGCTGCTGAATTATGCTGTGTCTTCAAAACCACCCCTATTTTGCTTTCGGGAGTTAAAGATAAACTGCCTAATTTCGCCTCTTCTATATGTATCTACTAATTTGACTGCTTCTGTGGAGCCATCTACATAGGCCGTTCAATTAGGCGTGCTAATCGTCGTATTACCGAACACCACATCTGGCATAGTGGTTAAATAAGGGACAAACAAAATCCATTCACAGCGCTATTCCATCTCATCTTGTAGATATAGAACACAAGGTTGACTGATGTTAACGAGGCGGCTTTCAAAGTCATCTACCGCATACCAACTAATCTTAACTTTACCTTAAGAGTTCGTCTACTGCCTATTGCTGAGGTTGGCTGTTGGGATCTCTACATTAAGAAGTCTAATTTGTGCGTCCGAAAGAAGCTAGTTCAGACACTGTCCTTACCTTCACCATCAAGGCTTTAATGATCCTGAATTTTTGTAGAATTTTCCTAATTTTAGTTGATATTCTATTTGCTATCATAGTTTTATTATTATTATTATTATTATTATTATTATTATTATTATTTATGCATCTTTAATGAAATGCAATTCCACTGATCTTACTTTACAGATCAATATTATTTAAAAAAACATTAATATTGTTATTCACTACTATTCTAGAATATTCTATGTATATAAACATCTATATATAATTGTAGAGCCAGAAGAGGAAATTATCGAAAAGGATATTCTCTGCTCAATTTTTATAAAGTTCAATTGGTTGTATACTTAATAATCATTATTCCATTTCAAATAGTCTTTCCATTTCTCATCTTTTACAGAATAAACCTAGTCCTTCTACAGCCGCTTACTCCAGTGCCATTCCTCCACACATACTTGGATTAATTCTCCGGCTTAGTTTATGCTTTTCTGCAGGTTTCTGTTTGCAGTCTTCACCGAAATACATTTTCAAATTCATCAATTTACTCATTGACAATCAATTAATTGATTCCAATACAAATAAAAATGATCTGTTCTTAATATTGATCGTCGCTTTAGTCATTTTCGTCGTAATGTTCTTACCAATTATGATGCTTGTTTTACGAAAGTGAGTTCGTTTTGTTATCTCCTCTATTTTTGTCTTTTGATGCTGCTTCTTTGTGTTTTTAGTAGGCGTCGTCTGTATGTGTCTTTCTGAAATGAGCGAAAGCCACTACAACACTATGGTGTACCCCAAATCTTTATCAACTTTATTCAACAGCTATATAAAAATACCACGTGTCACGTAATCCTCAAAAGGAAATTCATTGAAACCTTTGAAGTGAATACAGTAGTAATACAAGGCTGATTGCCTATTATCATCGATGAAATTCCTAATTGTGGTGGGCTGGATTATGCGCCGGACAGTGGGAAGCGAGAAAACAGGAATACGCTGCGTCGACTGACAAGAAGACTCCAGAAGATCCAGATTTCGCGGATGATTTCTGTTTAATGTCATACAAACTCGAAGACTTACGGGTGAAAACCAACAAACTAGCAGAAGAGGCAGGCAACGAAGACAGGACTTCAAGTGACCATTGAGAAGACAGAGGTAATGAGATTAACCAATCAACAGCAAGAACAACTAGCACCAATGACTATCAAAATGAGAAATTCGAAATATGTCACTTCCTTCACTTATCTAGCTGTGCAGCATCATTTCAACTACATCCAACCCAACTGATGAGGATGTCAAAGTAGGCCAGAATCGGAAAGGCAAGACACAGCTTTATCACTCTGAAGTCAGTGTGAAAATCTTCTGCAATAACTCAGCATAAAGAACAACATTCGTAATTTCAACACCAATTTGGCGAAGTTAAACTTTAAGCACCACTAACTACCAATCAGCGATTGACCTCGAACGCACCAATCACGTAAAGGAGACATTTTTGTGTATGAAATACATATATTTATGAAAAGGCGCATAAAAACTGTATAAAAGTGTGACAGAGGATACCTTTCTCCCGCATGTGATAAAAATAGCTCTCAGTTTCAGGTTGGAGTATCAGCAGAGTATAATTTCATCGTGGGTAAAATTTATTTTGATAAAGTCTCATAGTGTAATACAGAAATATTACCTGAGTAACAAATTGTGCTCGAAACGTCATCAGTTAATATGACAGTATAACACTGTGAGACTTTATCAAAATAAATGCTACCCACAATGGATTTATACTCTGTCACAGTGCACAAGTAATATTCTTATACCAACAGAGTAATTTAACCACATTCTAGGCATGCAGTTATTTTGGTCTTCTAACCCTAACAATAACCCTAGTCTTTTCTGAACCTAACCCTAACTTGAAAATAACCCTAAGCTAACTGTACCCTAACTCGAACCAACCCTAATGCCGCCTTTAAAGGCGACCTCACCCTAACTTGTCCTTGGCTTAAATGGTAAATTACTCCTTCCCAAACCTAAGCTGAAACTTGCGGGATATCCCACTTAACGGCATAACACTTCGATGAGCATATTTCATTGAAGATGACAGCATTATTTGCCAGTGAGCGTCTCAAGGTCATTAGTGCGGTCGAACTCCGTTGGTAGTTAGTGGTGCTTAAAGTGTAACCTGGCCGTTAAGTTAGTCAATTCTTCCATATGGGTTAGAAACTTGGCCAGCGTGTGAGCCACGAAAAGCATTCCCAACAGGTTACTGCAGACTTATCTCAATATCTGCCTTCGCTGGCTTCATACTAAAGATCAAATGGCTGGCCGGTCAGAAAGAAGTAGCAACAAGGAAATTCGGCAATGAACGAACCAACCAAGAACCTATCGCTTAACAAATATGTAGAAGAAAATGGAGATGGGTTGGACACACAAACACTGAGGAGACTGTCGAGTGATATCGCGCCCAGTGTAGGCTGTCCGTCGAGTGGAACCCGAATGGGAAACGACGAATTGGGGTAGGTCAGATGGTGACAGGGAAGAGATCGTTTGGGAAGGAGGAGCTGAGGAGACTGTGGACAATCGTGGGCCTAGCTAAAGAGGACAGCAAAGAATAGGACATATTGGGAGGAGGTGTGTTGTTGAAGCCCTACGTTCCATTTGAAACCCAAGGTAACAACAACAAAAGAAGAAGAAGAAATGTTTTAACTCGTCTTACAGCTACTGGGAGGACTTTATTGATTTAGTTTTCTTCGGAAGTATGACAAGTCTCCGTTGGTCAGTGAATGTAATTGGAACTCATTTGCCTTTAATAGATTGCTCATGCACCAGACTATGAGCCTTTTCTATAATCTGGGTACTGATGATACCACCTAATTGTCCAAAGTGGAGTATTTGCAGTGGGGTTCGAACTTGGGATCCAATAACCCACTAGTTCCTCCGCTCCTATCGTTCTCTCCTGAACTCATTACAGAATTATCCGCATAATTTCTTGCCAATTATTTTCTCTGCGTATAGAATCTTCAATTAAATGTTGTCACTCTATCTGAAACATGACTTACTCCTCGACGGCAATTTTTTCTTCATTTTCTTCTTGAAGAAGTACCCAGCAGTAGGTTGGATGCCAATTGACAATGTACCTGTGAATGCACTTTGAGATCCAAGGAGATAATTGAGAGAGATGGCGAAAAGTAGATGCTGGATGGAAATTTAGTTAACCCAGTAGTTTAAATAAGCCTCTAGGAAAATCATGTAATCCTTTAAAACTGAAATCTATGACTTCACACAGTCATATATATATATATTTTTCCTTCACGTTCCGCAGTGGAACATAGGGCCTCAAGCTAGTGGCTTGAAGTTTCTGTAGCAGTGTTTATTTTTACAGGATGGGGTTGCTAGCCTCATGCCAACCTTTCCTCTTCACCAGCATTATTTCTGGCTTATCGAGGTAAAGGAGTGCGTCGGCCGGTGGTCGAACCCCGGACCATGTGCATGGTCGGCGAGCGTCCTAACCGCTATGCCACCGACGCATATATATATATATATATATATATATATATATATATATATAAGTTGAGTTTATTTAAGTACCCGTTGTAGTATATCTCTAGTCTTGAGTATGTCTCTCACTGATGAATTGATTGGTCATAGGTCATATTGCTAATCTTTCAACAGTTTTCAAGCATAATTGTGACAACGGGAATTGTTCGCTTACAAGTCTTCATCTGTTTTTCTCATTGGGAATTTTTAAACCAAAAATTCGCCACATAGTAATTACATAGTTCAAGGTGAGAAGAGCTGGGTGATTGAGTTCACTTCTGATGAGCTCTTCACCACCAACCAAGTGAAACTGTCATCCAGTATGTAAATGACCTCCTCCTTTTAGTGCTAGGGGTAACACTATTGACCAACGTGAGCGGTTTCCAACTGTTTATAATATCACTGGCAAAGTTCAACAATAGCGTTCCAGGAGTGTGAACACTTCAATGACCTTGAACGTATGCTAGTCATTGGCCACCCAGATCACGTTTCTAAGTACTGTTTGGACAATGTGTTAGGATTAGGGTTAAGGTAAGTACTGGAGTTAGGGTTAGGATCGGGGTTAGAATTACGGTTTGAATAAGGGTTATGATTAGGGTTAGGATTAAGGTTAGGTTTAGTGTTAGGGTCAGGATTAAGCTTATGGTTACGATTAGGGATAGATTTATAGTTGATGTCATTTATTTTAATTTGTTTTATTATCCACGTTTTCCTGGTAAGTAGTCGTCTATCCTCTTGCTGGAAACCATAGTAATTCAACCGCAGGCTTTTTTGGAAGACTGCAAGCAGGATGAGAGAGACAAACGATTCACAAAAACAGTTTATCTGTAGTCATCTCGGTGAATACATGTTTACAGAAACTAGTCTGACTTCGCAACTGATACTCCTCGTTACAACTAGGATGTATTTTTAAGCCATATCAGAGAAAGATAACCTGTTTAATCCGTTTTCAAGAATTTCTTGTCAATACAAATAATTTTTTGAGCAAACATTCCTCATTTTTATGATTAGTCAGCTGAAGGTCATTCGTGCGTTCGCACTTCTGGGACGCTATTGTTGAACTTTACCATATCACTCAACAGTATATACTATTGTTATAACTGAAACTGAACTGAACTGGACTGAATAAACTCCGTCGCTACTTTTTTGATGTCTACGCCTGTGTTAATTACTATAACGGTAATGAACAACTCGACTGGTACGCTAATACGTCTACTATTTGTCCGTTGTACCTTCCGATTCACTGAACCACGCAAAGATCAAAAGACAAAGGCTGACCTTTGCCTGTAAGATATTGTATTATACTGCACTATGTAGTTTAAGAAACAACATATGATACTTATACATTTTCTTAAACATAATAAAGTCGGCTCACAACCGTGGGAATGTATTGATCTTATCCTCTGTAAATGTCTATTTTCATTGGTTGGCGATCCAACAAAGACCAAGGTGAGACTAAAAGACGATGAACTGATCACACGATAAATCATAATATGCGTGAGAAACTATACATTCACATAGTAACTCCATCACATGATAAATCACACGATTTGTGAGAAAGTATGATGTACAACTTTATGCTGGGTCCTACCATCTATCATCATGAAATGGAGGTTGATGTGGTTTCTAGCTTCTTCTTCATCTTCTCATCCTATATTTTGTAGGTTCTACGAGTATGTATATCAGAGGAGATGAAACTGTCGTTGTAGTATTTCATATTACTTAGCAGGGGGAAAAAGCGTCAACATCATGAACACCATCAACTTTCTAGGTAATGTATGTGTACCTTAACATTGTATTATCGATGGGATAACTAGATTTGTAATATTTTTTATATTTGCCGGTTGTTTTCTTCCTGTGTTTTTTTCAGGTTAATGATGTCATACAATGATGAAAAGGATAAAGAAGTTCTTATTGGTCAGTTATGCCTATTGAGTTGGTCCTTATTTCTAAGCTGTCTTACATGTCTTAATATATCGTCAGCTGTTATGCTTAGTATCCCAATTGTTCCCTTGCTTCACTTGCTTATACAGAACAGTAGTGAAATTAAAAGGTATGTCGTCATTTTTGTTTTGCATTCCTTTTGCGGTTCCGAGTAGAAACTGGGGTTTCAAGCATTGAAGCTTCAGTGGTGACGAGGGCTTTATTTCTAAGGGAAGAGGGGTGGTTGGTGGCAGCCTCATGCACAATGGTCATTTAGTTCATGTTGAATGGTTGGAGGCAATCGGTAGGAAGCCTTGGACCTAGACCTAGCTTTTGTGCTAGTTGGCACTCACTAGTCAACAAGGCGTACTTGTAATGTTGGGAGATTTGATATCCCTTCTAAGATACGAACACCGAATAGATAACTAGACTCATGACACTAGTGTCCAACCAAAGTGCTCAGTACAGTCCTACTGAAGGTCAATCGCATACATGGATAGCTCAGTGGTAACATCTCTCAATAACTGCAGCACTACTGGGTGACACGGGTTCGAATCTCAAAAGGGACATGAGTTCCTTCAAGAAAGTTGCAGATGCGCTTTGCTGACTGGTGAGTGTCAGCCAACAAGCACGAAACCTAGGTCTAGGTCCAAGGCTTCCTGTCGATTGCCTCTAACCGCCTAATATCAACAATTCACAGTACAGTGTGTTGGCGAACCACCTAGTGGCCTCGTGGCCACATTGCAAACCTTACTGATTGAATTCAGTCTGCAGTAAGCAAAAGACTAGACACACATTACACCAGTTACTAACTAGTTTCTGATCAAAGATCACTTCATTCATTTGTCCTGAGTTTACTCAAGAACTGACTGGAGGAAAGGTTACCTGGTGAAACTACCAAAGAAGGGCGACCTGGGACTCTGCAAGAACTGGCGAGGAATCATGCTCCTGTCGACGCCAAGTAAAATCCTGAGTCGCATCATCCTGGAGAGAATCAAGGACGCGCTGGATACAGAACTCCGACCAGAACAAGCTGGATTCAGGAAAGGCAAATCATGTTCTGACCAAATTGCAACTCTACGCATTATCATCGAACAAAGCATGGAATGGCAATCAAATCTCTACCTCAACTTCATAGACTTTGAGAAGGCCTTCGACAGCGTTGACCGCGAAGTAATTTGGAAACTACTCAAGTACTACGGCGTACCGCAAATATTCATCAACCTTATTCAACAACTGTACGACAACGGCACATGTCAAGTGATCCACAACGGAAAACTCAGCGAAGCGTTTGGAGTAAACACAGGAGTCAGACAAGGGTGCTTATTATCACCAATGATATTCCTAATTGTGGTGGACTGGATTATGCGTCAGACAGTGGGAAACGAGAAGACAGGGATATCCTGGACCGACGTGAAGAACCTAGAAGACCTGGATTTTGCGGATGATTTATGTTTGATGTCACACAAAATCGAAGACTTACAAGCAAAAACCGACAAACTGGTCGAAGAAGCAGCAAAGACAGGACTCCAGGTGAACATAGACAAGACGGAGGTTATGAAAATAACCAACCAACAACAGCAGCAACATCCAGTGCCAATCACCATCAACGGGAGGGATTTGAAAGAGGTTACTTCTTTCACTTATCTGGGGAGCATTGTCTCAACCATAGGAGGAACGGACGAGGATGTCAAATCGAGAATCGGGAAGGCGAGAAACACATTCATCAACCTGAAACCAATCTGGAAATCTTCGTCACTCACCATCAACAACAAAATTCGGATTTTCAATACAAACGTCAAGTCAATTTTGCTTTACGGATCAGAAACTTGGCGGGTCACCAAGAATATTTTCAACAGGTTGCAGACCTTTATCAACAACTGTCTTCGCTCCATACTGAAGATTAGATGGCCAGAAAGAATCACAAACAAGAAGCTATGGGAACAAACGAAACAGGAACCAATCGCCCAACAAGTATGCAGGAGAAAGTGGAGATGGATTGGACACTCGCTGAGGAGGCCGCTGGGTGACATCGGGTGTCAGGCCAACGCTCGAGTGGAACCCGGAAGGGAAGTGGCGAGTGGGACGTCCAAGGGTGACATGGAGGAGATCGTGTGAAGAGGTCCTGAAACAGTATGGACTAACATGGATGCAGGTGAAAAGTACAGCAGAAGGCAAAAGCAAGTGGAGACGTGTAGTTGAAGCCCTATGTTCCACTAGGAACCCAAGGGAACAATAATAATAATAATAATAATAATTACTCAAGAACTCAGATTTGGAGGAGCACTACCTACGTTTAACGTTGCACAGATTCTGACCAGTTTTTACACATGGGTAATACGAAATAAATTGAAGAGTATTCTTTATTCGATTATCTGTTTATTTTATTTATTTTATTCCTTTGCGTTCCGAGTGGAACATAGGGCTTCAAACTAAAGATTCCGTATGGTTCCATTTGTTCCGAAGACTGCGTAGAGAAAGACATTCTAAGCGAGGACGGATATCCAGAGAAGTTCATTAAAGCCAACATAGGTTACAATAGTCGTAAACATGAAGTGACAACGGTGGAGAAAAAGCCTCTATTTTTACCTCTACAATTCAAGGGAGATACTCCTGTGGAGATTCTATCGCAACACTTAACCAGGGTGATGAAGAAAACTTTCTACTCTATACATCTGTCTCTATCCTTCAATAGCCATCCAATGTTCACCCAGAAACTCAAAGATGTCTTACCTAAACTTAGCTCTTCTTCATGCATATACCATTTCAACTGTTCCTGTGGTTCAAGTTGTATAGGGCGCACGATTAGGCAGGTTCGTCTACGGGTACGAGAATATTTACCAGCTTGGTTCAGTAGGGGGGAAATTAAGTGCATAGAAAGCTCGATCCTGTCACACCTGGTCGATATTGGACATCGTATCGATGCCAACACAGCTTTCAGGGTTATATACCGAATTCCGAAGTCGTTATCACATACAGTTCGATTCCGTATTAGTTTGTTTATTAGATGTATCACATAGTGAAACAGTATTATTTACTGGATGACGTTTCGAAAAAAATTTATTGTTCATAATCATATCATATCAAACTAGAGCTTTGGAGTTTTGTTAGTAGTGGTTTTATTTTGACGCTTAACCTTCCCTGTTTTTTGAATTTGAATCAACTGACGTAGTGGTACCTTGGTACCATACATACTACGCTAACAGTATTGAAAAAAAACCGGCTTGTGCGTCCGGAGAAGCATGTACGAATCTGGCATCACTACAGAGCACCAATTAAAACTCCTGGATGGCAGACATACTATGAATCAGATGTCAGCGATAGCATAGACAATAATCTCAACTTCATTTCAACACAGTCACTGGGTTGCTTTTTTATTCCCTCTCCTATGTCCTGTCCATTTTTTTTCCTTCACGTTCCCCAGTGGAACATAGGGCTTCAAGCTAGTGGCTTGAAGTTTCTTTAGCAATGTTTATTTTACGGGATGGGGTTGCTAGCCCCATGCCCAACCTCTCCTCTTCACCAGCATTATTTCTGGCTTAGCAAAGTAAAGGAGTACGCCGGCCGGGGATCGAACCCCGGACCATGTGCATGGTCGGTAAGCGTCCTAACCACTATGCCACCGACGCGTCCTGTCCATTAGCAGCTTTGAAAAGTGTATGAATAATTCATCTTGCCTCCCAAGCCGTCTTTACTTACAGTTTTCTTTCGTACACTTTCTTCTCTTTTGTTCCCAGATCCCTTCCAGTCAAATTGATGAAATGGTTTCTGTCATCTGCTTGGCTACTCATATGTACACCAGTTTTAATCATATCGATGTGTATCATTCGTTCTTCCATCCAACACAACAACAACGACAACAACAGCAACTATTCTACAGCACTAAGCATCAATAATATTCATAGTTGCTTTGAACGATGTCTATTACAAAGTTTAATTGAAGCTGATCTATTCGGTTGTTGGACATGGTCAGTTGTCACCTGTGGATATACATCATTATGGTTATTGACTTGGTTAGGTATTTTCTAAAAAAAAATCGATAAACTGAATCAAGTATTATTCAATGTACAATTCTTATTGTTCACTTTGCTTTGAGTGTATATGTAAAAACGGTCTAAATGTCTCGATTTGTGTGTGTGTGCATGTTTTACTGACAATGTCCAACGACGAATGTATCTATGTATATTGCTTTACTACGCTTTTTGGTTTATATATATTAAGTAACTTTGCTGGGTAGTTTTCAGTAATTTCGCAAGCCGGTCTTGTGATGTTTTAGGAAGAATGTGATGATTAGTTAAAATGAATCAAGTTTAAGTTAAGAAGTTCAACTTCGCCTGTTCAAATCTCTGAGCATTTTCTCACACTGTTGACTATTTCCTTCTAAGTACTTTTCAACTTTCCCTCATGTGTTACTTGTTTGCTATCGGATTCGTGTAATTACTGCCAGTCAGTTTGAGCGGAATTCTCGAAAAACCATCCAGAAATCGAAATTAGATATGGCAGAGTGGATGTTTGTTTCATCGTCTTTTGACCAGAATGGTACAGTCGGTCTGAATTTGCGGTTGAGCAGTAATGTCAAATAACCACAAGATTCGTTGATATTAGATGGTTAGAAGCAATCGGTAGGAAGCCTTGGACTATCTAGGTTTTGTGTTTTTGGACTAGCATTCACCAGTCAGCAAGGTGTATCTTCAACCTTGAAGAAACTCATGTCCCCTCTGAGATTCAAACCCACGTTACTCACCACGGAGCTATTCATGGTCGCGATTGACCTCCTGTAGGTTTATATTGGATACTTTAACTGGACACTAGCTAGTAACCAGAGTAATGCGTCTAGGCCTCTTCTCTTGCTGATTGATGCCAAGAAGCACGAAGCCTAGTTGGAAGGCTTCCTTCCGATTGCCTCAAACCATCAACAATTCACAGTGCAGTACATCGTGATAGCGAGTCACCCAGCATGGTGGCCACATTGCAAACTTGACTGATAGAATTCAGTCTGAAGCAAACAAAGGACTAGAACACATTACACTAGTTACTAACTAGTGTCCAATCAGAGTAACCACAGGATTTGCCATCATAAACGACCTGGTTACGCCTTAGCTCAGGTAGACTTCGGTCTTACTGTCGAAATGCTTTTGATGTGTCCATGCGTTCAAGAGTGACCTGCCAGGTAGATCCTATTCACCGTTTTCACGCGGCGGGGGGTTCTCCACAAAAGTAATAGGGCGAATGCTACCCTCTGGTGCTAACAGAGGTAGACTGGTAGACATGCTTAGGGCGACAACCACCTCTCTCAGTCTAGCCGTCTGAGCAGTATCCCCGCCCTTACACAAACTACAGGATTTTTTGTGGCAATTTAATAATAATTATAGTGAACCACAGGGTTCAGTGATGCCCTTTATCCCAAGCAAATGTTGAAGCTTGAATTTGCTTATTTGTTCTGTTATATACCCCGTGTGTTGGCGTTTATTTTGAAAATGTCTCAGCGCACTATAGATAGCTGAAGGCTTTCTCCTTTCAACTATGGCTTACAAATTAATCTGTCAAGCGAGTTACTTACGTCGTCAAAATTATCAATGTGATATGACGTTATTCACTCTAAAAGTAAGTTAAGTATGTCCTCATACTCTATTAAATGCATAGACACACATACACGCCACTGTGTGAATCAATTTCATATACATTACTTCTTCAAGTGTATCACGTCAATCTAATATTTAGCTGTTGTGGTTGCTAGTACTTATATATGTGTATGCATAATATACGAGTCAGTAACCACCCACGCATTACATTTAATTGATTTTATGTCGCATCTCCATATTTGTGTACCACGATAGATAAGTTGCAAAAAGTAACAATTCTTTGCTGTGTGTATTCGTGTACATTAGAATAGACTGTACAAGACATAGAGATGTGTGGTGTCAGCATACATATCACCTACCTACGCTAACATCATCAACATAAATCATAGTCTCAAAATGAAAGATTTGTCATTGATGAGTCATGTGTATACTATTATGACTATTCTTAAATATTAGTATTAGTTAGTCAAGGTTGAAAAAAAGACTGGATCAATAATCTAGCAAAAAGTACTTCACATATGTTATTTGTTTTTCTTTCTCAGCTCTTTCTTTATTCATAAAGCTGAATAATTTAAACATTTTTATACATTAAGTGAATTCCGATAATCTTGCCTGTTCATAATTATCAGTAAGTTGGTCAGGAAAGCATTAAAACCACAGCATAACAAGACAGTTTAGTAGGCTGATGTGAAAAAAAAACAAAGTAATGCGTAAATAAATGTGAGAATCAAAAACTCTTGTACTGGAAGGGGGGGTGAAGTTTTCAACCATTGGCTCTTTGATTCGCAGTCTGTCGATCGATGCTACTTTGGATGTGACTAATGGTGGGATCGAGGACGCTCCTTTCGTCCTCTTTAGGACTCGTAAGCTGGATGTTTCTGTATCTCTATTGACTGATGGTGCTCCTACTGAAACTAGAACTTATTGATAAGTCTTCGTACAGGAAGACCATAAGTCATATTAATATATGTGTAAAACTTGGGCACTGTGGTAGTAAGTAATTCCATATTAGTTTGTTTATTAGGTATATCACACAGTGAAACAGTATTATTTACTGGATGACGTTTCGAACAAAATTTATTGTTCATAATCATATTAATTGATATGATATGACGATTATAAGCTGCCTCTGAGATTACTCCACTTTTACTCAGTTCCTTAAGCGTGTTAGTTAACTGCTTTTCAGCCTTTCCGTCCAGATCTATTGGGTTGATAAGCTTTTGGAACTTCGTTTCATCCGTTAAAAGGGAGTTCATTTTGTCGACATAATCACACTTATTCATCAGTACTACTCCAGTTCCTTTATCAGATCTACCGATTACAATGCTTTCGTCGTTTCTTAGCCTTCTTAGGGCTTCTCTATGCTGTTTAGTCAGCAAACTCTTACCAGGATGACTACTGTTTTTATACTGTTGACAACTGTCGACTAGTGTAGTTTTAAACCTAGCGACTTGATCGTCTGACGTTGGGGGCAAATCTTTTGTTTGTAGGAGGAGGTTTTCAAACTGGATAATAAACCTAATAAACAAACTAATGTGAAACTATAACTTAGAAGCTATACTTTCGAACACTAGAAGGTTATCCACTAGGTTACTAGAAGACTTTTTTCAGTGCACCATACACGGTAACTGTAGAAGACGAAAGACTCGATAAAGAAATGTTTATTGGCGTTTCGGTATGCCCATATAGTCAAATTATGTACACCTTATCTTCAACCCACCATTTGCAGAGATCTTCCGTGTTGTGCTACTTCTGGCCTTCCTTCATATCGTGTTTCTTTGTGTTCCTTTCACGTCTCTCCTCAACACTGTATCATTTGCTCCCTCCGACATCAAATCTATCTCCCTGCTATGTGATGTTTTCATGCCAATGAACATCTCGTATATATACTACTGATAAATCTTATCAGTAGCATGCACCACAATACAGGTTTCAAATTACTTATTCATACTCTAGTGACTTCCTATTTATGATCAAAAACTGAATAATTCAAGTTGTTAAACTATAGTAGCCCCCAACGAGCATGACTCTAAGACAACCAATCGGAAAAAGCCGACGTTAAGGCTCATGAATTGTATTGATCTACGCCGCCTCTTCGATGGTAATTTCAACTTGATCCTATTTTCAAGGAGACCTTAACTCCTAAGCCTAACGAATTCATGAGCTTTAACGTTCATCTATACTATTTAGTCATTTACGGTCACTCCTCTGTTATGCGGAGGAATATGACGTGACGTGCTATTTATGAATTAAGTGAAAGTCTATAGGACATATATTCAGCTTAGTAGTGATATACAATGGCAGGCAGGCATCTTGAGGACTAAAAATGAAGGTGAGTGTATGCAACAATATTCTCGAGTAATGAAAGAATCATATGATGCACGCATTCTGATTTCAGCGGAATACCAACGCAAGCAACTGTCTCTCCGAAAAAGCCAATAAGAACAGCAACGCTTTTAAATTTAATTTTTATTATAGCTTGATTCCCGACGCCAAGTAAAATCCTGAGTCGCATCATCCTGGAGAGAATCAAGGACGCACTGGATACAGAACTCCGACTAGAACAAGCTGGATTCAGGAAAGGCAAATCATGTTCTGACCAAATTGCAACTCTACGCATTATCATCGAACAAAGCATGGAATGGCAATCAAACCTCTACCTCAACTTTATAGACTTTGAGAAGGCCTTCGACAGAGTTGACCGCGAAGTAATTTGGAAAATACTCGAGTACTACGGCGTACCCCAAATATTCATCAAACTTATTCAACAGCTGTACGACAACGGCACATGTCAAGTGATCCACAACGGAAAACTCAGCGAAGCGTTTGGAGTAAACACAGGAGTCAGACAAGGGTGCTTATTATCACCAATGATATTCCTAATTGTGGTGGACTGGATTATGCGTCAGACAGTGGGAAACGAGAAGACAGGGATATCCTGGACTAACGTGAAGAACCTAGAAGACCTGGATTTCGCGCGTGGATGATTTATGTTTGATGTCACACAAAATCGAAGACTTACAAGCGAAAACCGACAAACGGGTCGAAGAAGCAGCCAGAGGAGACAGGACTCCAGGTGAACATAGACAAGACGGAAGTTATGAAAATAACCAACCAACAACAACAGCAACATCTAGTGCCAATCACCATCAACGGGAGGGATTTGAAAGAGGTTACTTCATTCACTTCACTTATCTAGGGAGCATTGTCTCAACTACAGGAGGAACGGACGAGGATGTCAAATCGAGAATCAGGAAGGCGAGAAACACATCCATCAACCTGAAACCAATCTGGAAATCTTCGTCACTCAGCCTGCATCAACAACAAAATTCGGATTTTCAATACAAACGTCAAGTCAATTTCGCTTTACGGATCAGAAACTTGGCGGGTCACCAAGAATATTTTCAACAGGTTGCAGACCTTTATCAACAACTGTCTTCGCTCCATACTGAAGATTAGATGGCCGGAAAGAATCACAAACAAGAAGCTATGGGAACAAACGAAACAGGAACCAATCGCCCAACAAATATGCAGGAGAAAGTGGAGATGGATTGGACACTCGCTGAGGAGGCCGTTGGGTGACATCGCGCGTCAGGCCAGTGCTCGACTGGAACCCGAAAGGGAAGCGGCGAGTGGGACGTCCAAGGGTG